CGGATATCTCAGTGATTAAAGAAATTTCTGGTAATTTTCCTGGCAAATTTTCCAGTAGTGACTAGTTCTCATTTGTTAAATATGAAACTGAGAAAAAAATATCAAATATTAGATTTAAATCACTTGACAAATCTATAACGTAATCTTTTTAATTCTACCTATTTATTGATTCATCTATTACCACAAATTAGCGGAATTCAAATTAGAGGATCAAAATAAAGCTATCTTTTATCTGCAAAATATCTTAGAAATAATTATTTCAAATGTGATTTCTTTGTCAACTATTTATGAGTAGAAAAAGGAAGGAGAAATTGAATGAGATCCTTCATCGATGTACTTTAAATAAAGACAATTTTTTTTTAAAGAATGCAACATTTTAATGATCGATCTACTTTCATGATGCGGTTTGCATAATGAGATAGATATCTTTCTTCTCTTAAATTTCGAATATCAAAATGAGATTGCATTCTAGAATGGAGCAAAAAGTTTTATTTTTATTGAACTAATAACAAATTGATATGTTGTTGAAATCATTTTTATTTGTATGATACATTTCTAATTGACAGTTTCTTGTATAATACAAACATTGATGTGTTTTACTTTACGGATGTAATGCATAATGAGATAAGAAAATCATTTTTGAAGTTATTTTACTATCTTACATTAGTTTAAGTTTTAATTTTATTTCATCTCTTTTCTCTTGTTTTTCATTAGTCGTCAAATTTCCTCCTGTAAAATTATGAGCTTCCTGCATATGTTTATTCGAAAAATAAAATTAAAGAGAAATAAATGAAAACTTCATTTTCAAATTTCCTAATATTACATTATTTTGATGAATATCGTGTTGGGATGAAAATTTAATTTTTTCATTCATTCAATTTCTGCATTACAAATCTAATATAATTTTTGATAAACCATCTCTTAACTAATTTATCAGCATTTTTATCTGCTTTTCTCTATCCTGTCAATGAATGAAACCGTAAATTCCTGTTTAGTGTTAAGTGATATCTAAAGCTTTAAAGCTTTAGGATTTACTTCGTAACACTAAACTGATAAATTGATATTTAAAATAAACGGTCCTGAAATAACTACCAATAATGCTAAAACCAGTAAGTAAAATATCGATGTTTTGCTCAGCAAGAGATGAAAGATTTTGCTGAAGTTTCGAAGTAACTCACAAATCGGATTAAATTACCCTCTAATCCCGCTATTGAACTGAGCGTGATTCTATAGTGTATTTACCTTCTTTTATTTTCATTCATCTCCCTCATCCCATTGATATCTAGCACTGAGATATTTTAATATCAAACTTTTTTTTGTTAGTCATAAAATTAGAGAAACAAAAAGAATTAAATGATCGATATTACAAATTAGGACTGAAAAAACTGTAAGTTTTCAGACTCCTAGAATTTAGTCCAATATATGAAATTCAGTTTTATGAAAAGCGTTTTTAGCTTCAGTAAACTCAAGAATTATTGAGTTATGAAATAAACTGAAGAATTATTGAGCTATGAATAATCCAACTACACACTGAGAATGATGAGTGAAATCGAATGAACAATCATTTAATTCCTTCGAAAAAAATTCAAAATAAAACTTTTGAGAGTGATATTTTTTCAAAAATAGTAACACTGATTATTACAAGAAATCATTTGTAACGCTGAAGAAATTCGATGATAAAATAAGATAGAGTTGTTAAAGTTAAAAGATGTGAGTGCAAAATGAAAAGTTTCGAAGCTATCCATACAATCTATCAAGTCACATCTATCTTAAAACAAATAAAATATAATTAGAAGTGTAGAATAAAAGATGATGAAAAAAATGGTTTATCAACAGAAGCATAATATGCCCTTCTACAACTAACGTTTGATGGCACTTCTCTTGTACGACGCGTAACTATCGCTTTCACATCACTAATCGACAAAGCTACGACGATTTGATAAACATTCTCACTTACTTTCAACATTCATTTCATTCTCTTTACACAATTCAAAAATGCTTTTACATCAAAAAAATTATCCAAACGTTAATCTATTCTTTTATAATATTTTTCCATTTTTTTTTGTTTGCATATATTGGTATGTATCAGTTCTGCTCAAACGATCATAATGCTCCAACAATGTATTGATTTTAAAAATTATTCGAAAATTTTAGCTCTTCAAAAAGATTTGCTCCATAGAAAATATGAATGTATTATCTTACAAAAGATCAGATGAATGCCAAGAAGATGATAGAATTGAGGATATTTTAGATAAGCCGCATGATTAATTTAAATCGATGGTGAAATAGAAGGTGAATTCGAAAATTTCATACCATTTTTCCGGTGCTGAAAATTATATAAATTGAAATGCTAAAAGGTGAAACAATTTTGAAGTACTTAAGAAATCAGTGGAGTTTTTTTTCTTAGCTAATTAGTAAATTAATTAAATATTAAGCAAATTACTAACTAGCGACTTCACATTATTAACATTTGCAACAATAAAGTTTTTTTTTTCGTTGGTTGATGAATGCGAAAATGTAAACAAACAGTTAAATAAAAAGTTTTTATCAGTACTTTTAGATTTTCATTTATGACAGATTAAATTTGCATGAAATAGAAACACTTAATGATAATTTATTATATGAAGGATGAATTGGGATTTGTTCTTCTCACCCGCAGAATTTTTCTGGTAATGTGGCTGCTTTTCTATTTCTCTTAGAATTTTGTAATGCTTTGATGATTTTAGGATTTTTTAATTTTATAATTTAAATATAAATTTTTTAACAATTAGATTACTTAACACATTATTAAGGTGTTTGCTTGCATTTTTTGTTGTTGTCAAACTCTCGAAATTATAGCTTTACGCTAATATTGTTAATTAATATTATATTTTCAACATGAATTGTCATCATTCTTCCATGATTGTTGTTCCATATAATTTTCTCAACTAAAAAAAATTACATGAAGCTCTTCTCAAAAAAGTTAATTTTAATTCATCTTTATTTGGAAACACAATTATCAAAGATAAAGAGATCAGTAATGGAACTGTAACGGAATAGCAATTGTTGATAAGCGATAAATGAACATTATCACAAGACTAATCTATTTCTTCGCCTTATTTTCTTCTATTTCATAATTTTGGTAATTGTAAAATTTTCGAAATTTCAAATTGTTTCTAAGTTCCTAATAGTTGAAATATTCGAAAATATTTTATGGTTGACAGAAAAATAAACTGGATAAAATAATCAAAATAAAAGTGAGAGAAAGTTAATCCACAGAAGTTAACTAAGCATTTAAGTTCACTCTGTGACGAAGTTTGAAACTGATAAGTTTAGTTTCGATAAGGTTTTGACCATTTACACTCATCAATATTATTGCACAATTTACATATGCATTGTGTTTCTTGAATATATATAAACTGAACTTTGTTGCTATTTATTCATTTTTCGCGACTTATTGCTGTCGTGTGCTTTATTTGTTCCGACTGTTGTTAATAAGCGGTTGATACTTGCCGGTTGCATTGTACGAATTACGAATTCAGGATAGAGAAAGAGCATAAAATCCTGTAATATTCCATATTTTTTTTCAGCTGATAGTTGTTAATTTAAATGATTGCCGTAAGATTTACGGCGTATTGTTATTAATTATTGTAAATAAAGCGAAGTATCCAACAGAAATGTGAAGAAAAAAAAACTTTCTATAATTTTGATTTAAGAGAAAAATTTTTTGTAATAATTTAATTTGAATCTTTCCTTAAAATAGACCAAATATTATTGTTAATTTGTTAAATGAAATGTTGAAATGTTAATTTGGTTCTTTTTCATTGCTTAAAATCGTTTATCTTCTGAAAATTTCATTTCTGAATTATTGCAAATTATAAATGTTTCTTATTTTACAGCTTATAAATTCTACCTGGAAGGAAAGTTTACGGGAAAGTTGTCACCTCTAATCGTTTTCAAGTATGCATTTTTGAAATGAGGAAAAAATCAAGAAAATTTTTGCTCTACTATCCCTTTTCCAAACTTCTGCTTCTTTGAAAACGAATGAGAATTGTATCTGTCATTTCAGACAGGTGTATACAATCATATATATTACTCTACAGCCATCAATGCATCGCAGTTGGAAATTGCTAATTCTACTCATATTGTTGATATCAAATTCAATTCAATGGATAAATGGGAAAACAAACGATTATAAATCACGAGATTGTTAGTTGTTATCGTGGATATTTCAGTTCAAATAAGAAATGATATCTCATTGATATTACCATTAATCATAATTAGATGACAAAATTCAAGTCAAAATTGAAATCGGTAAATTTGGAAAAATAATTTGTAATTAATTTGTTTTCTTTAATGCATTAAAGTCCAGCAGAAGACTGGAAGAAGTCAACATTTGTAAATTGAAAAATGTATTTATAATCATAGTGCCAAATGAATTTGATTCCTTGATATCTTATCGGAAAACAAATTGCTGCTATCGTAATATCAGAAAACGAATACGGAAATATGTAAAAGAAAAAAAGATCGATAGACAAATATGTAATTAAATGGGCAGCAATTATGATTTATTTATTACACGGTTTATCATGAAATTCAATTCATTTGAGTCTGGTAGTCTGTCCATCCTCTTCGATCTTATACAAATCTCTCTCTCTCTTCTCTTTGTTCACCTTATTTAAGCAATCATTAGATAATTTGAATAATTTACCGTATATCAGCTAAATATTGCTGCTTTTTTGAGGCTTCCGAGAGCTTGCAAGAGTATGTCATGCTTTCCTTAATTCTTCTGCCCAAATATTATGACTTCTATATAATTTTATCAAATTAAGATGAACACTACTTAAATGGTATAAGGCCTCTAGTCCATGGAGAAATATTGCTCTAATCCATGGAGATATGAAATATTTTCATTCAAAGATTGACCACTTAAATTATTAGCTAATAACAGTGATATACTGTGATATACATGGTCTGCTGAATCTGCGACAGATCTGTATTATAATTTCCGCTATGCTTCAATGCCCCAAAATTTCTATCATTCAATTGTTATACGTTTAGTGCGGGGTTCTAGAGGAGGAAATTTTCTAATTTTGTTTCACTCTACTATCAACAGTAATAGCTTAATCCACTGCGTACGAGAATTAACTATCCGAATGATAAATTTTAGTTTATATTCCGATGACAAATTCGGAACACTTTTAAAATGAAAAAACAGATTTGTTGTTATTTCTTGATGATTTCTGATAGCTATAAGAAAGTAAGATTGTTTTTGCTTGGTCTTATTCTATCCTTTACACTTTTATTTTTATCTTATAATATTTTATGCAAATTTTTAGTTTACCAATTTTGATATGAACTTATTTGCTTTTATTTGGAGCAATGAATTTACTATAAAAAGTGTAAGATCTGAAGTAATAAAAAATAAGCTTCATTTCCTTCTATGGAACTTATATGAAAATATCACAACTTACCACAACTTACCATAACATACCACATACTCTGCCTCCATAATCTAAAATTTATCTTTGTTTAAAAAGCTTCAAATAGCTTAATATCATTTTTTCTCAATTTCCAAAAATATTCCTGATTTGTTCCAAACAATCATAATAAGTATCTGCATGAACTGATTTAGCATCTATTTTATAGTGATAATATTTATATCAAATTAGCTGATTAGTTCTTTATTAAACGTTCTATCCTGGAACTAATTTTAATTTTCCGTTCTTTACTTGAACAAGTATTATGGGATGAATATTAAACATAGTAGAGGGTGGTTAGGCTTATAAACTGTTCAAAAACAATCAGTTTTGGCAGTAATTTACTGAAGTTTTTAGTTTGTTTTGGAACTGATAATAGTCGAACGGAGCTGCGGGATGTGAACCGGATCAATCAGCTAATTAGACAGTATCGGAATTGCACTCGCGTTAAGGGAAATTTGGAAATAACTTATATACAACGTGAACATCTGAATGGAACTGATTCGGAAAAATTTTTCAGCTTTTTAGACCATATCCAACAGGTCTGCTTCTTATTCAGTTTTAAAACTTCATGATTCATGTTTCATTACAACTAATCAGTAGCTTTCTTCTTTAAAGAACCTTTTATTTGAAGAAAATATTGTTTTAAAAATCAATTTAGCTATCTTCATCAAGTACTTCCTCCGAATGCTAGTCAACATTGCTTATGAACTACGGAGCGCAATTTACTTAAGAATTTATAATATTTGCCATAGGGATGAATTCAATTTGATTTCATATATACCATAAAAGTGCTAGCAATTCTTTGTTTGTCTTCAATTGCTTTTAAAAAAATGGTTGATCGACTCGAAGCCGACTTGAATTAATCGAAATGAAGTTTACGCCAAAATTTTGTTTGCTTTGATCACAATCACCTAACATTTGAAATCAATATTTTGTTGCAAGTAATTTCTAGATCACCGGTTACCTATTAATCTATGCAAATGATTTCGATCGAATAACACTACAAAATTTGGAAATAGTTTGGGGTGATAAACGGCATGATGATATAGCAGCAATAGATATAAGTTATAATAAGGAACTGAAACATGTCAACTTACCGAAGTTAAGAAGTAAGTTCAAATTACAATTGATTTAATAAATATATCATCTTGCTTATTATATTTCTCAGAATCTCTCTTTTCCATTTCTCTCGCAAAAAAGCCAAAAAAAAAGAAAGTTATTTGCATTAAGTTATTTGGAGTCGTAATCTGAGATGTCCTTTTACCTTCAGGCATTGAACGCGGCAGTATAGTACTGATGAATAATCCTTATCTATGTAATTGGAACACTACCGTATCCTACAATGAAGTATAATTCAAAATTATTTAAGTTCTATTCCATGAAATAATTTTGTAAAAATCATAAGAAGCTCAACAAGAGCTTTCAAATAACTATTAGCAATAATAAAATTTAGATTCTTGGTAAAGGCAGTAAATCGCGAGTTCAATTAATGAACAATTTCGATAAATGTGATCAAGTTGAAAGCAAATGTGCAGAAAATTGTGGTAAATATTGCTGGGGACCGGATAAAGATATGTGTCAGACAGGTCTGCCCAATTTGTCCAAGTCATATTTACAGCATGGTTTAAAATTTACCTTAAACATGAAAGAGGAATATAATTGCTTTTCAGGAAATGGATTTTCATCCTTAAAAGTTTACATTCTTTTTCAGAATCATTTAAGATATGCTTGAATATTTATTGAAAAATTGAATTCTTTTTTGTGATATTTAGTGTATCGTGAAATCTGTCCAAGCGATTGTCCATCACAAATGTGTTATCAAAGTGATAACAAAACACATTGCTGTGACGAGGCATGCGCAGCGGGTTGCTTTGGTGAAGGAAAAAGTGCTTGCATCGTTCGTCATTAATGCTACTTTTTTTCAAAGAAACATCTTTGAATGATATGATAAGCAAACATTTGCATAATAAAATTAATATTGAACTACTTATACTCTCTTTCAAATTAACAAATAATATCATTCTTAGATTTAAAAAATTACTTTCCAAATTATTCTTAACAAAAATTAATTTAAAATCTATAGAAATTAGATCTATTTTATACCATACATATAGCACAGGCAATATGTATGGTATAAAACAACTTTTGTTTAGATTTTTTTTTCAATTTATAAATTGTAATTTGCTTTTTTAGGCTTGTGCTAAATTAGAGCAAGATTTGAAATGTGTAGAGAAGTGTAATGGATTGACAGATTACGATCCAACATTGAAAATGACCGTAAAACATTCTGATCCACGATACACCTATGATCGATATTGTGTGAAGCAATGCCCAGGTATCATTGAACATTTAATTGTTCCTGAAAATTATTAGACGATGTTCAATGCAGTAGAATTTATTTATCATATCAGTCAGTTCATTCTTCAAAAAATTAAGTTTTATATTTAAGGCATTTCTCGCAAATAATTTTTGTAGGAATTAATATACCTGGAGATACTTGAAGATAAATAAATAAAACAATCCAATATGTTTATTAGTAGCAAAAAAAGATTTAACAATTATTTAATTAACTCTTCTTTAACAATACCTTGTGTTGTCAAAATTAACAATAGAAGAGGAAAAAGTTCCTTGGACAAACATTTTATAAAATTTTAAATCATCAATGCAAAACGTTCAAAAAACGCATAATAAAATTTTCTTAAGAAAAAAATTTCCAGATGAGACGCTTATCCAAGGGGAATACTGTGTTATACATTGTACGGAAGGTTACTGGCATGATCCGGTAAAAAATACCCGAATTTGTGAGAAGTGCCATAATGGAATATGTCCGAAAAGTAAATTCTTTCGGCGGCTTAATTTGATTATATATATAACTTTATTTTTATTTAAAATAATATATACGATAATAATATTTCTAATAATGCTTAACGTAGCATTATTTATATTTGTGCAAAACATTTCAAGGCTTAACTTCACAGATGTAACAAAGCAATTTGAAATGAGTCAATTATGAAACAAATCAAAATAAAATTTTAAATCAAATTTGAAAGAGGAAAAAACAAATAACTTATACCATAAAAAAAACAAAAGTTATACCATATCGTAAATTTTGCTATTTTACGGAAAAAAGTGAGGAATTCTTGCTTTAGATGATGAGATGATTCTAAATATTTTAATCAGAAAGAATAACAATTAATTAATTGGAGTTTTTCAGCTTGCTTAATGAGTGAGCCAATAGATTCGAGTAATATTGGAAGTTTGGAAAACTGCACAGTTATCGAAGGTTTCGTTCAACTTTTACGTCACTCATTCGAAGCTCATCGGAAATTTTTTACGGATGGGTACATTTGATTATTTTTACTCTTTTTTACTTCTTTTATTTTAGCGCTTTAAAAGAATGAAAGAAATCTTATAAAGTTTTTGCTTAAAATGTCGTAGGTTAAGAAGGATTGCAATGAATTGCAGAAGCAATTGAAATTATCCGAATCAGATTTTCAATTTTGTATTTATAGCTTTGGTTCGTTTGAAATATGTCTATCTCCTCATGTTTCAAATAACACTTTTGAAATATTTAAGTCCAACTAATCAATGAACTTTCAGGAGACCACCGATGAAAATACCAGCATTAACAGCCAAAATGTTGGAGGCATTGAAAAATGTTAAAATTATTACCGAATATGTGGATGTTCAAGCGGCCGAATTCTCTCCTGCATCGTTAGGCTTCCTTAGTAATCTGAGAACCATCGAAGGACGTAAACTTAGGTATGTTGTCTTTTTCGTATATATATATATATATATATATGAAAAAAAAAATCCTACTCTCTTCTTTCTGTATATATATATATATGTATTGGAATTCTCTCTCTCTTTCTCTATATATATATACACACAGAGAGAGGGGAATTTTTATTTTTTTCATCGAATTTCAGATAATATGGAAATTTTAATCAAAATTTCTGTCGAATTTTCTAGTGAATTTTTACATTCGATATGAATTTTTGGTAATTTTTAGTTGACTTATGATTTAAAATAATTAAAAGGTAATTGGAAAATAGACTTAAAATATATTTCAGTCTCGATCAATTTGCATTATTGATTACCAGCAATCAAAATCTGAAAGAGCTTGGACTACGATCATTGAAAAGGATAAAGAATGGACGTGTGTACATTGGAAAAAACGAGAAACTTTGTTTTCTAGATTCGATAACAGAGCGCTGGAAAGAGATCATGCAAATGGATAATATTTCTTATTCGGTAGCAATAAAGAGAAATGGACAGAAATGCTGTAAGTTGTTTGCATTATTTATCATAATACGATAATTATTACGTTCGTCGTAATTATTTTACTCTATAATTATTACTATTACAATTTTTTCAGCAAATACTACTATCTGTGATGATAACTGTGATAAGAGATATGGATGCTGGGGTGAAGGACCAAGAATGTGTGTAAAATGTTCCAATTATGATGTGGACGGCGAGTGCTCCAGCAACTGTCCTACAGAAGGGTTACTATTTGATTATTAATAAAATTTAACATGATAAAGAATGAATGATCCTTAATATGAAATAGTTTAACTCGATGATTTTAAGACACGCTCGTAACATTTAAGATTTTATTTGGTGAATCAAAAATGCCTTAAATGCCATCCTCAATGTAAAACATGCAACGGACCAACAGAACGAGATTGTGCTACATGCCGGAATGTTCGGATACAACAGGGTAGTGAATGGGAATGTATAGCAGAATGTCCGAAGCTATATTATTTCGATGGGAATACATGTTTGCCATGCAATGCAGTATGCTATGATTTTGGGTGTGGTTTTTTTTCAGTTTACAAATTTTTTTTATCCAAATTTTTCCTGACATAATCGCTGTGATTACTTGATGGACAAAGCCTCACTCTTATCGTTTTAAGATAACTATCTAATAGGCAAGCATCAACAGTGAAATTCCTTCATCATTCACAAAATTTTAGTTGTACCGGTCCGGAAAAAGTGGCCGGCAAAGGTGGTTGCAACAAATGCAAGCATGCAAAGCGCCCTGATACTGGCCAAGCACCAGTATGCTTATATGAGATAGGTGAACCAAGGGATGTGTGCCGTGATAATAAACTAACTCATTACTATGCTGCCGCATCATCCAGCGAACTTATTGCTGAATTTGTAAATTTTTATTTTGTTGATAATTAAATCAAAAAAAGTGCAAGCAAAAGTGTAGATGTATGAACAAGGTAAAAAGAGGTGAATAAAGTGAAGATAAGAATAAGTACAACGAATAAAGTGACGATAAGAATTAAGTATAATAGCAGATTTGTCAATGAAGGAAACATGTATAAAAAGACATAAACTTTCAGTTTTTAAGTTATCAAGTCTGGAAAGTTTCATACTTTAAATATTCTTTAAGGGGGTAAGGGCTGTAACTTAAAAATGTAGTCGAAGGAGACAAAACCCCTTTTGCTACAGTAATCACTTGTAGCCACTTATTTTGTAACTACTTCTCTTCTTTGTGATCGCTTACTTGAAAAAAGTCTCAAAAAGATCTTTTCAAATTTTCAATAATTTTTTTTCAACAAGTCGTCTTTTAAGGAATGTGATGAATGCAGTGAAGAGTGTTTAACTTGTGCTGGTTATGGTACATCTGTGAAGCGACATAAATGTAAATGTGCGCATTATTTAACAAAAACGAATTCAGACAACGGTTATTGTACAATGAACTGTAAAATGTAATTTCAGACTTATGAATTTTATTTAAATATCTCATTCTTCTCTCGGCTATTTCGTTGTTAAATTACCAATATAGACTTTGAATGTGCATCAGTATCTTACTGTAGAAAACGATTTGAAACAACAAATTGGCCGAGAGAAGAGAAATCAGAATGATATCGCAATAGAAAGAGGTTCGTCCATCCTGTTACCGGTATCGTTTGTGTGGTTATTAAAAGCTGGCAGTTTGTAAAGTATTATTAATTTTGGTAGTAATCGTATATTGTTTAGGGATTCATTTATGGTGCGCCCTAAATCAAATAATGAAATCGGTGAATGCCAACGATGTAATGAACTATGTGATCTTTCAATGGGTTGTACAGGTCCTAGTTCTGCAAACTGTACACGATGTGCCAAAGCTGGCATTTTATTGAGCAATAAGTTGGTTCGTGATTTCAGTAAAATTTAAAATTTCATTTCACTTGTGATCATGTCAAAAATTGTTCATTAATATATAAGCGTGATATTGTTTAACATGCAAAAAGCACGGCATTGTTTAACCTGCTTTCTTTTACATTAATAGTTCAGCAGTTGGAAGAATTAATGTTGTTTTGTTAGATTTAATTGGTGTACTATTTTTCAGATTTGTCTAGAACGATGTCCAGCTGATTATCCATTTCTTACGACTGATAAACTTTGTCATAGTTCAGATCCAGAAGCTTCTGCCTTGAAAAAGTTGCAAAATTTGTCTTCTTTAAAATAATAATAAGTTTGAAATAATAATATTCCAAATAATTCAATTCAAAAATAACCATAATATTATGAAGACCGGCTTGAGTTGTAATACGTGATAGAAATCGTTGATTAATCCCTAGTTATTGAGAATACTTAATAATTGAAGATAAGAATTAAGTAATGCTTCAGTGAGTTCTGAAAGGAACAACTTTTTCTTGTGAATCATCAGGAAATTTCAAGAAAGAAATTGCAGGAGAATGTACATAATCATAATCTGTGTATTATGCGCAGCTGTTCTTATTGCCATTATAGCGGTTTGTTTCATTTCTTCAATTATCATCATTTTAATAGAAATCTTTTTGATTTGACATCACATTCTTTCTTTTAGTCAATTGATGACCTTTTGCTTTAATCCTTTCTCATCTCACCACCAATTAACGATAGTCCTTATTTTTCTCTTGAAAATACTTCCTGGTCAATTTTTTTTTATCAACCACATTGCATTTTCAAGTCAGTACTTTCATTTCAACAATATTATAGTGAATTATTCATATGTGAATTCCTCTTTGTATAGGATTGTTTTACATAAACATTTCTTTTGCTTAAAATCTTCCAACTGTTGTAATGGAATCTGAAAAGAATGAAAAAAATTACTGTATCAAATATTTTAGTTTGCAGTAAACTTTCAGATATATTTCAGGGTATCACAATAAATTGTATAAAATACAAGAAACGATATCAACAGGAGCTTGAAATGAATCTACCAAGCATTCCGGATTACGAACTAACGGATCTATCGATGAGACCAAACATGACGCGTCTTTGCATTATTACCAGTGAAAATCTTGAAAAGACGCAGCAATCTCTTGGACAAGGCGCATTTGGAACTGTTTTCTTGGTGAATTTTTTGTCTATAGTATAATAATGACCCATTTTTCCAAAGTTACTTTCACTCTAAGTTGAAATAAACATAATACAAAATAAAAGGCAGATTTTCTGCTAAACTCATAAAAGCGGTTTTATTTATGAGTAGATCCTCTTTATGTAATCATGCAAAAGTGCCGATCAAAGGATATACCTTAGATTTGCGATTGACTTCACGCTTTTCCGATCGATGTTTCAAAATAATTTATGTAAAGATGCAACAGTTATTTTTTTAGGGCTATTGGTGGCCAAAGGGTAAGAACGACGGTGAAAAGTTGGCAGTAGCAATTAAGGTAGTTCATGATGGTAGCGGTACAGCACATCAAGAAATGTTACAAGAGGCGGGTATCATGGCATGTATGCGACATGAACATTTGCTTCGGCTGGTTGGTGTATGTCTTAGCGATGGTATGCAAATTGTGACTCCAATGCGACCACTTGGTAGTTTGAAGAACTATCTTAAAAAACATCATCAGAAACTCGGCGCAAGAGATCTCTTGTTATACTGCTACCAAATTGCATCGGTATGTTATTTATGAGGGAAGCATTCATTACCTTTTTTATAACAAGTGAAATATGTTAATTCAAGAGCTAGAAATATAAATTGAAGCCGAAACTTGTAATCTTGAAGAATTGGGCTGGAAATTTATAATTTATTTTCTAAAGCTGTTTATTATTTCATCATTTCAGGCAATGGAATATCTCTATAAAAACCGTTTAGTACATCGAGATTTAGCTGCGCGAAATGTCTTAGTGAAACGAGCCAATCATGTTGAAGTGACCGATTTTGGACTTGCTAGATTGTTGGAAAAAGGAAAAAGTGAAGTTTTTGTTGGCGGAAAGGTCATCTTTTCATCGTTCTATGTGGTTACATTACGAAATTTTGGGCAAATAAATCAAAGAATGGCAATTTTTAGAATTTGTCTCCGAATCGATCTGCTGCTTTCGATTTGCTTTCTGACTTTACAGGGATTTTAAACATTCTCGAAGTAAAAAGTTAAATTTTTAACTTCGAGATCAAAAAATGAAAAGTTGATATTTTTAATTTTAGGTTGCCGTAAAGTGGTTAGCACTCGAAAGTCTTGAGAAACAAATTTACACTCATTACACTGATGTTTGGGCTTTTGGTGTTACTTGCTGGGAAGTGCTAACATTTGGACAAACACCGTTCCAAAGTGTACCGCCGGATCGAATACGTCAACATTTAGCAACTGGTAATCGTTTAGAGCAGCCAAATAACTGCGCTCAAGAAGTATATCAAACATTTTTGCAATGTAAGTGCTTGAAAGTCATTTGCTTTATCAGTTAAATCATATGGCGGCAATGTAACTCCTAAGCATATGGTATTCTGCATAAGGAACGACTATGAAGTCAGAAATTGCTGTGCATGCTACAGTGCTGTGCATGCTACAGTACCTTCAAGTTATGTTACACTGATAACATTCTGTTTAATTACAGTATAAGGGAAATATTTACTAAAAAGAAGATCGCCTGTTCTGCACACCTTAATTTAATTATTTTTGCATAAAAATTTTTAAAATATCATTCATTTCTAAAATTCTCGAAAATTTTCAGTTTTCATAAAAGATTAGAAATATACATTAAATTCTTCATGTTTTAAGTTTCTATTGTTTAGGTTGGTTACAGAATCCAGAATCGAGACCAAATTTTGTTACGCTTAAGGAGAAATTCAAGCAATATTGCAAAGCACCCCATCTTTACGTTCTGGTTCGTTTTACCAGGAGCATTCAGAGTTTTTCGGAAATTTATGCGATTTAAGCAGATATTATAAAAGTTTTCATAATGACGGAAAGGAAGTTTTGCTTGTAATTTTTTTAATAGATTAAATTTTAGAAAATTGATTTTGATGTATAAAATATGAATTGAAAATTTTATTTTAGGATCGTTTTTATAAGCAACAGTTAGAATCTGTATTACTTGAAAATCAACATGAGATACTCAACGGTCTAATGAATAGTAGCGAACTTTGCGATCAGTTTAAATTTTCTGAAGACACTACAGTTATATCTACTTCAGTGGAACCACTGTCACCAGCAACACCTTCTTGGGTACCATTTTAACAGATAAGATATGAATAAATCTTTTAATTTCAAGACTCCCAGCAATAAGGTGACATAATTTGTATCAGCTGGTATAATTTTTCTTAGTCTAGATCGAATTTGAATCAAATTTAATTAAATTGCATCGAAGTAAGCAGATAAAAACAATATGTCAGAAAAATTTAAATGGGATTAAATATTGAAATGGTTTCTTTGAACTGGTCATCAATAATTGTTTAAACATAACGTTTCAGATTGATTTGACCATATATGTTTTTAGACTTAATTAAGTTAAAATTAAGTGAAGCATATCATCACATCCACATATACATTTTAAATTTAACTGTATTGGATGGAGCGCATACTTGCTGAATTAGTGCAACTATAAATTACTTAATTTGAATGCAGATATTCGGAGTTTGTTATCGAATTTTCGGCATATATCTTTAGGATGCTGTTAATATACAGCAGAATGAACGAATGGGAAGCAGCGATTCGGGACGTTATCAAAGTGATCCTGTACATGACGGACGCACAGAATTGAGTATGGATGAAGGGAATTATTTAATACCAAGTAATAAACAGTCGATTTTATACACTCCAGTTGTTGTTCGAGAAAATGGAGAAACAGGTAAACTGCCGCATGTTAGCACGATTTCTTAATTACACTTCTTTAATGTTTATAAAAATTGCATCATATCGACTGTATTCATATTAATCTTTACCCAATTATCTTTCTTACCATCAAGGTATAAAAGGCAAAAAAGTAGGAAATTTTTTCTCCAATATTTCATATTTATATTCTTAACAGAGTTGATGGAAAGTTCGGAATATTATAACGATAAAATTGGTACTGATTATTACAATCAATTGAAATCTGCATCGCTGGAAATGGAAAATGAGGCGAAATCAATTAAAATAACAACGTATCAAAATGATTATTATTTTGCTGAGAACGAGACATCATTGTGATATTGGATAGGGAAAATGTTATGCTATTAGATTTGACTTAGTTACGAGTTTTTAAGTTCTTTAAGCTAACAAATTATTTGTAAGATACAATTATAGCTTAATTTCCGGATGTTATAAATACAGGGTCTTTGAAAATCAGTCTTTTAAATATAATACATTTAAGTAATTTTTAAAGAAATCATTTTATAATACCGTTTTATTTGATTACGAAAATTTTTTCAAAATGGAACAAACGTCTCAAAATTCGTAAGATGGCATATTGCATATTTTGTTTTTAATGGAAGAGTTCTTTAGGGTCTGTGTGAGCTTAAAGTTGCATTTGATAATGTTAATTCCTCCTTTTAAGGTTCTGATGCTTTCCACAAATTGCAACAATTGTTCCAAGGTTTTCGATTCCATTAATATCTGTTAAGTTTCACTTATACACTTTCATCCAATGATCTTCAATCGCTTTATCTTTCAGATAAGCGGTCTCGAAATTGTACATTTATTTGATTATACAACAAAATTGTAATTGGATTTTGGCGATGTAATTTAATGATGCATTTGTCAATAATTGTATGCTGACATAATTTATAGTATTTAAATTAAATTTGTGAGAGTCATAAAATTTTAATTTTTTTAATTCTTGTGCAACAAAAAAGAATAACAGTATTTTATCAGCGGGCAGCGGATAATTTGGACAGTCTCTAATTTTCAAGAAAAAAATTTTCATAATAGAGAAAAATTATCCATTGGTTGAAATATTCTTATTGCAAATTTGCGAGTGGTAAGCAATATCGGTTGATTTTAAATTTTGAAAATAAAGAAGCATCTCTTAGGCTTAGATTTTAAATGAAATTCAAAATAATCAAAATAAATTCAAAATTTCAAAATAAATGAAATTCAGATGAAATTCAGATGAAATTCAAAATATTGCATGAAAAGATGTTTCATGCAATGTTTAAGAAAGTATCATATTAAAAACTAGATTAGAACAATTTCAGAACAAGTGAAATAACAATTGATAAATGAGAATTGTTATTTCGTCTATTTTTGAACTTTTTAATTTAGTTTTTAGTCTGATATTTTCTCGAGCATTATATGAAGCTAAAAGAATGGAAGGAATGAAATTAGAAATTCGATTTATTCAACTTCTGAATTTGCTATAAAAGTTCGGTGGTTTCATTTATCATTTACAAATGAGCTTTTGTATGATACATAAATTTTTGAATTGATTAATTTTTGGAACGTCACGCAGGTGCATTTTGAACAATTATAACATTTTCAATATTGAAATAAACTCAGTGTAGTATAATATATTATAGTACTGAGTACTGTAATATATTATAGTATTATTTCGATATATTTCGATATTGAAAGTGCTATAATTGCTCTCTTTCTTTTCGGTACAATATTGAAATAAAACTACTCAGTATAAGGATCTGATGGTCCTTCTCTCGAAGTATTGTCATGAAATGATTTTCATCATGAGAAATATAAAGTGTGAAAGTTTTGTCTTTTGTTTACTTTAAAGTTTCATGTTTTTTGAAATTTTAATCAATTACTCCAATGAAACATGAATATTTATACATTATTTCTCTGAAATAATTTTTGCAAGGTATTATTTAAACAATGGATAAAGAAATTCAAAATAATTTCAAGAATTGATAAGAGATTTTGAGAAGTTCTCTGTAAAATGCTGGCGGCTAGCAATATCTTTCATGTAACTTCTAATACTAATTAATTATGAGGGTGGAGGAGAATTGCTGAGATTTTCAATGAATTTTGAGCAAAAATAAGGAGTAGTTTGAAGATTTTATGAATTTCAATCAGAATTTTTTAAATCGTAAAGTGATGAAGAAATAGAAGTAGGAGATGTCCAGAAATATGGTATTGTTGAGTATTGAAGCCTTCAACAACCATTATCTTAAGGATGATAACATAGCTAACTATTCATTAGAACACATCAAATAACCCAAAGATTTTGCGATGCATAAATTAAAGAGATATTTTTGCTCTTAAATTTAATTCAATTTTGAAGGTTTCGGTTTGAAAACTGCCTATGGTTGTTTAATTTAAAAAGGACCACTGCAGATAGAGAATGAGTGCGGACATCGAACTTTGGATGATTACTTTAAAATTATTTTAATAATATAAAACAAAATTTGATTTGACTGTACCAGCATTATCAGATTACAGAGCACATTGAAATCATTCGAATCAAACAGATTAGTCAAACAGAGAGAACGTCAATTGGGAATTCTGGAGAGAGCTTCACAAAATCTCTTATCAATTCTTGAAATTATTTTGAATTTCCTTATCCATTGTTAAAATGATACCTTGCAAAAATTAATTCAGAGAAAGGAATAAATATTCATGTTTCACTGAAGTAATTGAAATATTAAAATTTCAAAAAACATGAAACTTTAAAGTAAACAAAAGATAAAATTTTCGCACTTCATGTTTCATATTTATTAAGCTGCCCGTTTTGGAATTTAATGAATCCTTCTCCGGTCACTATCGTTAATTGGTCGTCTTTACGATTTTACTTCTCCGCTAGCCAATAACTTCCTAAACTTGCCTTTTACATACCTATTTGTTTTCATTTTATATAAGCTGCTTATTTCAAAAATTTGAAAATTTCTGCATTTTTGAATTAATAAATTTTCAGATCTATATAATTTTTCAAATACTGCAAATTTACGACATTGCTAAAAATCATCAAAAACTGTTCTTATCACCACTTTTAGATCATAAATGTTATATCCCAAGAATATGTTTTTGAAGTATGAACTTCAATTCCGAGAAATGCATTTGAAAAATTAATATATATCTTCTGAACTGCCTCTCCTTTGCAAAAAAGATTTACGTTCATTTCATTTCTTTAACTATCTTTATGAAAAAATTCACAGATTTGTTTTGATGTCATCAAAGATCAAGTTATCAAAGCATTTGAATAACATGGAATTCGAGAAATAATATATTGCAAGAAATACCTTCTAAAGATACACCACTGATCATTTTATAACGGTTTAATATTTTCTAGAGCAGATCAATCAACTCTAAATGACTAATTTAAGTACTTTTTAATCTACTATAGTCTAATTTCTTCGTAGAACTTTTTGAGCTTTTTTTCAAATCTTTTTCTGCAGACGCGACAACTACATTTGGGGTAAATTTAAGTAATTAATTTTATGCAGTAAATATAATTTCCAAAAATGTATAACTTTTAATTTTATCTGATAATGCTGAAATAATGTAACATTTAAAACAGATTTTTTAAGTTTTATTTCAATTCAGTTTCCATCAATTTGCATGATTGTAGCTACCTTCCCATGTTCAGAATACCCGCCGCCATACGCCTGATCATGTCATAGCGTTGATCCATTTTTGTCGGAGAGAACATTATCGGTGTGGTGTGGTGTGGTGTGTGTGTGCAATATATGTATATGAGTGTATGAGTGTGTGTGTTCGCCTTTCGATGAAAAGACAATCATCAAATTTAGCTATCTTTCTTAATCATTTCCATCTTTTCATTTCTTTTTTTAAACAGTATAATTTTTAAATTTTGAAAAAAAAAATTTTTGCTTTGAATGTTTTATGTCTACCAATTCTATTTATCATCATGCTATCAAGCAATTCAATCTGATTATATCTTATCTTTTATAAAATTTTCTCTTCTCTTATCAACTCCTACAATTTCTGCTTAGCCAATGGATTTTTATATTATTTCAAGATTTGTAAGAACAAATGAAATTAATTTGTGCTGAAAGAATGCTAAAGATTTCATTTAAATTTATTGGATTGACCGATAACTGTTTGTGTTTTTTATATTTTTTGTATTTTCCACATTTTTAATACTAATTCCTTTATCAATATATATTTCATAACCTTTATATCGTGCCCTAAATGGATTATATTGATGATTCTGGACAAGGACAGTATCGAGTTTGGGGCCCAGGTAATCCAGGCTTTCCTCGCTGAAATTTTCCATTCTTGAAAATAGTAAAAATTGTGATAACAAAAAAAATGAGAATTTTGCATAACTCTCAGAGCTTGATATAGATTAAATTTCATCAGTGATAGTTCAAAAAAACTTATCGTTTTCACTTCATACAGAAAAACTTACTTTTCCTGGTAAACCTGGTATACCGATTCTTCCAGGTAAACCCTTTGGTCCAGCTGGTCCAATTTCACCTGGACCTCCACGAAAGCCATCTCTTCCGCGCTCTCCTTGCTTTCCAGGTCTGCCGCGTTCACCAGTTATACCTTGATCACCGGGTATTGAGATGTACCTTATATTGCTTCTTCCCGGTGGGCCATCAATTCCTGGCTCACCTTGACTACCTGAAAATTTAACTTATAGTTTTTTATTTCCTGCACACTAACACTTTATACATTGCTGTTTGAAATATGAATTTACCTGGTTTACCGACATCACCAGGCAGGCCTGGCGGTCCCGGTATTCCATCTTCGCCTTGCACTCCAACAACTCCAGGATTTCCTGGTGAGCCAATTTCACCTGGCTGTCCATTGGGACCTCGTGGTCCACTCGGGCCAACTGGGCATCGGACACATCCTAATTCTGTTAAATTTAGAACAGCGATGATTCCATCAGTACCTGGGAGTCCCTGTATGCCTGGCACACCTGGTTCTGCAATAGAATTAATAAATATTTCAAATAAATTAATGGAAGTGGTATATTTATAAAAGTAATTTTGATTAGTACAAGGAGAAAATATAGTGGCAACAAAACAAAGTCGACCTCCTGGTTCTCCTTTTTCGCCTTGTGGGCCTTGTTTACCGCGTGGACATCTGTTGGGTCTTTGACCACATTCTGAAATTCGAGTATAAAATTTATTTTTATGGCTAATTAATTTAATGACCATAATTGAGATCGTCAATCTAGCCCTCAATATTTCTGAATTCACTGAACAATAAACGCATTGTCATAGAAATTTCTGTTTTACCACATTGTTCATCAGGAAAAGATCTTTTTGTCCTCAAGCTATGGCGCAGAAAGAATTGATGAATTGGTTGGGTTTTGTCACTTCTAGATGGCTTCTCCGCCCGCAACTGCATCATTCCATTCCATGCATTCTCGTTAATGACCTTCAAGTTTGACACATTTACCTATCATCTGCAGATATCCGAATCTCCATTTTTCACTCATCTTAAAATTTTTTGTATTCAAACTATTGATGGGATTTTAGGACATTATTTGGGACATTTTGTGTGCAATAAAACTTTTACTTCTGCATAACTTTTCTGCGAATATGGAAGCATCACTGATAGTTTAGTCTGTTAGTTAAGAACTTCGTCCAAAACTAAAAAAATCTCGTTGCGTTTGGAATGGTCCTACTTGAAACAACTTTGTTCTGATTTATTTGTTTTTATGATATAATAAATATTACTTATAATTTATTGTAACTTTTGATAATCATACTTGTAATGATAAAACTTTGACAAAAAAAACGAGAATGGAATTGAACTACCTTGATTTCTTGCGTATCGCTCATAATTTCATCGTACAGTGAGTTCAAATCATTGATCAAATGGATCACAGCAATAATACATGTCAGTACAACCATTGTGGAAATGGTACCTGCTATACTGACATTTGTAAGAAGGCCCATATTCCAGTTGAACAAATTTCTCTCTTGCAATATAATTCACTGGAAATAAGATTTTTGAAATACTCGAAAGCATATAATCACTTTTATGACTTACACTTAAGTGTTACGTGCAATACACAACAAACACACTTATGTCATAAATATCTAGAATTGAATTTGGAAATAAACCAAAAAATTTGCTTCAAGAATTTGGAATTCCAAAATGTTTTTAGGGTTTGAAATTTATATCATAAATATATTAGCAGAAGAATTTTCTTACAATCAATCTTGAAAAGCTAAAATACGAAATTTTGAAATTATTTTAACAATCGTATCCTTTAAGAAGAATCAATGCAGCAACACATGAAGCCACCAACTAATGATAACTTAAAAAGGACAAACAGTGGGTCGACGAAAATTTGATGCCATTTTTCGATAATGACCGTAGGGGGACAATGGAGATTGATAGTTGTTATAATGTTCAATAACTTGTTTTTGTGTGGTACTATTACCCGATATTACTTTTATCGACCCTTACTCGCGTAGAATGCGTATTAGGAGAGGGTTGTTAATGTGCTGGATGAGTAAAGAGAGAATTTCTCGGGCCGCTGTCATACCAATCAGTTGGTATATAAACCGGTAAACAATGACATTAATGCCCGAGTTTTCGTGATTTATTTGATTTGATAAATAGTGCCGACATTTTCTCACAATAATATCGCGTTCAGAATATTCTCTGACCCATAGTAAGATAATAACGTTCATTTGTCTTCGTGCTTATTTGAGAAATTCAGTAATTACATGTGGCGCCAGTAGGTGTGAAATATTTTCGCTCTCAAAGACTTGATTTCATCTCTTGAATTTTTAATATCTAAGGTCATGCATGATCTTATCCTTCCCTCAAATGATTTTACGGCAACATACAGGTCTTCATAACAATGCTAAGCAATAACTTTTTCGAAATTTCTCCACTAATCATTATGTTGACATTCACATTGTCACAAGATAAATCGAGGAAATTAGGAATGACTGTAAACGATGACGACATTAATGAATGCTATTTTCAACTGATAAAATCATTTTCAACATCGTCATTTGAAACATTATATTCAGTTCATCGCCTACTTCATAAAAAAACTCATTGCGACGACAAAAGAAACTTACAATCGGCCCTTTGATATCAAAGAAATGATCATTATATGTTTCAAAAATATCAATCTTCAATACACATAAATTTTTAAAATTTCTTTCATTATGACAAAGATATTCAGAAGATTGCTTATCTCAAACAAAATACTTTCCGATAGTTTGAAAAATTAATGAATGATATCAAATTAAAGATTATGAAAAGTCCATTTTGAAGAAATGAAAAAATTGTTGCCAAATAACTAACTGTAAGTTTTGGGCAGTCAAACCTTCTTCGTATTCATTGCACATAATAATGAAATTTGTATAATACTGCAATTAACGATTAAAGCAATCAATCGTGTTTGAGTTATACATTAGGAATGCTTACGTAATATCTAATCTCAAATTAAAACAAAGTGGATTTTTCTAAAAAGATGAAAGAGCAACATATGACGACGTATTTGCTATTGATAGCACAAGATGACCATTTCAGTCCTGATTTCCTCTAGTCATTTAAAAGCATTTAAGATGCGCTGAGTTAAATAATTAAATTCAGATTCGTTAGATACGTAACTGTCATCAATGTAAGCAAATAACGAGGCGAATGATACATAATATTGATATCATAGTGCTATTTCAATGTCTTTTATGTTTAACACTGTTATTTCCCTGTAAATTACGGTCATTTGTTTTATATATGAAAATATTTGCATAAAATTACAATTGAATACAAATTAAAAACAATGTGAGAGCAGTTTGATACTCAAGTAAGTTCAGAAATGCTGTATTTTTTCGAGTTACAATCTCATTAAACGGTAAAGGCAGATCAATTTTTTATCAATATTGATAAGATTTATCAAATGCATAAAAACTAAATAGTGACCTTCTGCTCGGCTGAACTACTTCTAGTGTCAGTTATTATCAATTGATATCAAAACAATTGATTGGATAAATTTTCCCAATCAAAAAATGCTGAGGCATTCTTTTGTTCAACTTTTTATGGTATAGAATAAATGTAGAAGTTATTGATTGATCAGTTTTAAAAATTCATAGCGAAACACTGGGACAATGCCAAATTGTATAAATCCAAATTATATTCGTTGTGAAGTTTAATATACAACAATTTTTTCTTGAGACCATTACTAAATGAAGCTATCAAGTTCCTTCGATCCTATCCTTTTAATTCCTATTTTATAACTAAATAATGTTAATAGCCAAATCTGAAGAAAAGAGAAGTTTCAATTCTACTGTGCTAAATGGAAATATTGTCAGCTCATGTGATCCACTCCCTTCCAAATGATTGGAATGTGGAAGGCTATTTTTATTTGTTGTTATCATTTCTTACCAGCTATATAGGTGATAAAGATAATAAAGTGAAAATGATAACTACTTGCTTGCTTCGAATTTCATTCGAATCTTTTCATTTTTTACAAGTGTGACTCATCATCATTCTGAAGCAGGAAAATCTGTAACACTGAGAAAAAATCTGTGCTTATGCTATCTACGCGAAGATAAAGAGAAAGACTAAAAAATTTCCTAGAAATTACTAGGCCTAACACAAGGCTGATCAGTATATCATAAGAGTATTAGTGCGTAATTTTATTAATTCAAAAAAAAAATCCATTCTAGGAATACTGTAAGTACTAATTGGTTACCTAAAAATTTGAAAAGCTTTAATGTTTCAGTTTACGAATTAGTATGATATGATTGAAATTCGATGAATGTTTCGGGAAAGTGTGCTTATGCTGCGCCATTACTATCTTTTCATCGAATCTTTCCCTCACTGACAGCTAAAAGATAACGAAATCGCTCGAATTTGCTGTTTAGCATCAAAATTTTAGATATTTTTTTTCATTAATAATCTCCAACCAATGGTTTTATTTTTTTAATTTGGAATGTTAAATAAAATTTCATTTAATTAGAACGGAGTTTCATAATAAACACTTTAAATTTTTGTATTTTTGTTTGAGTCTTTATCCGTTTCCTTATTTTTCAATTTACAATTCAAATTTAATCCGACGAAGTGAATTATCAAATTCAATCATTTTTTCGAGATATCTTTGAAAGCATCTGATTAGTCTCTTAGATCTCGAGAGTATGATCCGAAGTTTCGGTAAGTTTTCCTTATTTCTGATTCATTCATTACCAAAATTAATTGAAGATTCTATAAGTATGATTTCAAATTCACCGCTCCCTATTCCTCCGTTTATCAAACCATCTGATATTTTGTAAAAACTTAGCAAGCAATTGTTGCAATATGTTAAATAGCCTTCATTCATTCTACATTCTTTTAATATAACTTCTCACTAAAAACTACAATTTGAAATTGTGTTAATTATAGATAAATATTTGCGAAATTTGAAGCCGAAATATGATGATGATGTAGTGGACAGATGTAACTATTTGGTCACTAACATTATGCTTCTAATTTGTGCAATAACTGTTGCTGCGAAGCAGTATGTTGGAGAACCTTTACAATGCTGGGTACCCGCTGAATTTCAGGTTCTGAATTCTCTTTGCAGATACCAAAGTTATCGGATCTAAATTCATTCAAATTATTAATATCTATTTAATCATAATATGAAAAAACTATAAATCCAACAATTTTCAAAGGGATAGGATCAAGTTAATTAACAAGAACGATAACCTGGACCCTCCATTTAACACTTATCACCTGCGAATTGAATTTATTTCAATCACAATCAGAACGCACGAAATCTAAGAAATTTTTATCATATTAATCTAAATGATGAAAAACTCATATTGATCGAACTTTATATATTTCAATTAGACTTACAAAATTGTGATCAATGAAATTTTTCCTTTTTGCTCTTTTTTTTAGGATGGCTGGGAGCAATATATTGAGAATTTTTGCTTCGTTGAAAATACTTATTTTGTGCCGTTTGAGGATGATATACCTACGGTAATTCGCATTCAGTAAACTAATAAAAGTCGAAATGAATTACTTTTTTTTGCATTTCAAAATCGAATTGAAATCACGGAATACAATAAGTGATTGATCGATCAAATTTTATGCCATTTATGACGATGGCGCATCATCTGAACCTATCTCTTCAAATTTTTTATTTAATACTTAGGATGCTACGAAGCGTGATCAATATCAAATACAATATTATCAATGGATACCGTTTATTCTTGCCCTACAAGCTTTGTTATTTCTTGTACCTCGGATCATCTGGATAATGTTTAATTGGAGGACAGGTGCGCCCGTTTTTCTTGTTTTCTAAGCCGTAGATAGTATTGTTGATTCTCTCTAATTTTGTTGTTAATAATTAATATATTGGCTTTTTAAACATTAATGAGCGCTTTTATTTGTAGGATTAAATATGCAAGCCATTGTTGATGCAGCAATTTTGACCAGAAAAGTGGGAGAAAAACGATATTTGAAAAAAGTAAGATCTTTCTTTTCTACAAAATTACTCAGTACAGAATTAAATTTTTTTTCAGTTAATTTCATCAGTTACAGAGAACGAAAAATCAAGAGAATTCATTTGCGCAAGCTCAACAAATCACTTATGTGATGGATTTTAACCGAAGGAAAAGTCAATATGCAAAATTAATGGGTAAGCATATTTTTACATACGAGTAAATATAGAAAAGTAGATAAAAAGAAGAGCGGAGTATATGAACACTAACAAAACTCTATTTGTGCTCAAAAGATATCAGGTGGAGCAAAACGAAGTGCAAATTAAGAACGAGAATTTTTAGTAATAGTAGAGAAAGGCAGAATATAATCTAATATTGCGGTCTGGGAGAGGATGACATCTATAGCAATTATGCTAGTTGATGATTGTGATCATACGCAGCCTTTTTTAATTAGTAGAAGGTTAAATGTTTTGTGCCTAATTAATTATTGGGAAGATATCAAGGGGCTTTATAAAAATAATGTTGAACATTGTGAAAGTTTTCAATGACTAAAAAAAGGGAAATTCAAGGTATAATTGGAATTTGACATATTCGACATCTGAACCATTTTTATTGATTCGCTGATAACTCTATGACATTCTTTAGCAAAATTGAAGAAGAGAAAAGATTGGGTGATATTGATGTTGATAATATTGATAATACCATTTTATCTTGAAGTAGTATAAGATTAGCAACAATCAATATTTGAAGATTAGCAACAAGCATCAATATTTGAAAAATATAGTAAGGCTATGCGTCTTTTACTAAACAATTTAATTAAAATTAAAGTTGCAATCTATAGATTTGAAGAAATATTCAGTCGTTGTTAATATGATTGAATATAGCCCAAACTGATAGGAATTAGTCAAATTTATAAGGATACTGAAAATGTTATACAATTCATTGACTTACGACAAGTTATTGCTGTTATTAATTCAAGCTTAAACTTAAACCAACCCAACTTAATTACGGCAGCGGTTGACAGTTAACGATCCCACAAAATTGTTATAAAGAAATACCATAATGATTTATTCATAGATTGTATTTCAAATTTTATAGATTACATTTCAAAACTGATTTCATAAGCTGCTACAAAGAAGCTCATGATACAGAATTTATTTCAGAAATATGCAAACATTATATGAAAAGATCAAAATTTCACATTAAGAAGAGATTCATAAAAATATGCTTTGATTGATAACATCCGATCCATCGATATGATAAGAATTAAAATGAGGAAGGATTTATGGAAATTGTTTAAATTTATCAACTGTAGATAGCTATAATAATAGCCATTATGTCTCCGAATTTGCTTGTTTACTTTACGATTATCAGAAGTTCCTTTGGTCCTAAACACCATATCGCACTGCGCAAATCTTCATATTTTCCAAGCATCGATTCATTGTTATAATAGTTGATTAAATTTACTGACATAGTCATTGTGGCACAACAATCCCAAAACATATTGCGTGTGATAGTATCAGAAAGAGAAATTATGACAGTAAGAATAACATACATATTATTGGTAAAAAGATTCTGAGAAGCTTTTTGATTTCTTCTGTCTCATTCTTAGAAACTTTATACTTTTGAATTCAAGAAATAAAATAAATTTTCAAGAAACTTAACTAAAAAATTTTGATTTTTTTAGTACCACTGCGGCAAATTTATGTTACGGCATTATATTTACTTTGCAAATGTTTGAACGTAATAAATATCATTGGGCAACTTTACTTATTGAATCGCTTCCTCGGTATGCAATATTATTTTTGGGGTTTTGGAGTACTCAACGATTTAATTCACGGTAGAGAATGGTTCATAAGCGGAAATTTCCCGAGGGTTTGTTACACATTAAAATTCAAAATTTTTTGGTTTATTATATGATGGAGAAGTTTGAAATGAATTTATGGAATCTTAACGACTTCTCAAATATCGACCAAAATATTACTTAAAATTGATAACATAAAGAAGTCTTGATAAGCTTAACATAATTTAGCTGTACTATTTTTGTAATATGCTATAGTTGGTTTAAAAAACAAAAAAAGATTTTTTTCCTGTATTAGCTAAAATATTATATATTTGAGGTTACCCTTTGTGATGTTATAATTCGCGAAATTGGCAATACGAATCGAAAAACTGTCCAATGTGTTCTAATGATAAATATGTTCAATGAGAAAATATTCCTTTCCCTGTGGTTTTGGTTGATGGCTTTGGGCCTTTTAACAATTCTTAATTTGGCCTACTGGACAGTGATAACCTTTGTTCCAAGCTATTCTAGAAGCTTCGCATCTTCTTATTTGGTAATTCTTTCTTGATTTATTCTTTTATTAGTCGAACTGAATGATAGAAAATTCAGATGAAAACTGAATTAGTAAGTCACTTTTTAAACGATTCAGCAAGAATGGAAAAAAATTTTTAACACTAAGACAGAATAAACGAAACAAACATTAGGAATTACATTAAGTTGCATCGATCAGATCGGTGTTGAAATTAATTCCGCAGACATCTTAATAGAATTTGAATTCTAATTCGGTTAACTTATTTGACAAGAAGGCGCTTTAAGACTTTTCACAATATTGAACCAACAGAAGAAGAACTCGATTATTTCCTACACTATTCAGCCGGAAAGGTTACATTTTGATGTATATTTGATTATTTCAACTTAAATATTTCAGCTCTTTTCAAAAAAGATTTCTACCGTAGTGATTAAAAAGGTTTTACTGATAACGTAGTTTTTACTGATAATCAGTTAACAGGTGAGAATACTGTTATCACCTAATCAGCGTTAACTAACAACTTATACAGCAATGACTCCGGACGGAGCATTAGATTGGATATGAAGAAGGCGTATCAATGAGATGAAATAATAATATTTGATTCAATCGACTTATGGACCTTCAAGTGTTTGTATTTTTGATAAATTCCCATTGTTTCACATAAACTACTTAAGAAGTTGGTAACACTTCTATCAAAAAGAAAAGTTTAAAGCAAAATTTTTAGGATGCAATTACAGTGCTACATTTGGTGAGCGATAATGCCGGTGAAATGGTCGCAGCTGATCTATTTGCAGCTTTATGGTACATTTATGAAGAACGCAAGAATGCAAAAAAAATTCAGGATTGATTAATTCCTTATCAATTCTCATCATAAATCGCGATCATACTATAAGAGAAATTAAGTTATATCATGCATATCAAATTGGTTTATTCGACTTTTTCTATCTGACGTGTTTATCATAATTGCTTTTTTGAATTAAATACAAATTTTCAAATCGATGAAAATATAAGAATGCTTTTTGTGCTCTTCCATATAATGTGCAACATCTATAAATGACATTTTATCCAATTCATACTCAGTCATTTTATAAATTCAATTCATCTTTATTTATAATTATTTTTAAAATCTTAGAAAAATATATTGTCCCTTAGAAATGTAAATAATCAGGCGGTTTGAATTTTTCTATCCGTGCAACACTCAATCGTATGCTTTTGACAACCAATCAATGTTTTTTGTTTTTAAATGAGATCTTGAATTTTGGCTACTAATGTCAACAAGTTGATAGTTTTTCTACCTGTTTTGCATTTGCTGAAATTATTTATGTTAATATCTAAAAAAATTGAAATAAACATTTTGAAGTGTTCCGATCATGAAAATTGATCTTTAATTAATCTAAGTCACGATAACACTATAAAATTTGAAAGAATCAAAGTTATGAACGAATTTTTAAAATCATTCAAATTGTATGAAGTGAGAATGAAGGAAGAATCAAATGTTGCATTTAATTCGTAGAAAGTTGAAAGAAATTTAGATTGTATTTTGAAATGAAATTCTTAAATATTAAATTTGAGACAGATGACATACACTATTCTTCTGTTCTCAATGACCAACAGTTAGCAAGATTAAAGAGTTTTATCATATTTCAAAATAAAAATCCGTCACTTATTAAACTGAAGCATTTGAATTTTATAGTTTTTTTTAATAGAACAATAAAGCAATGCCGCAATACTGCCACTATTATAGGATAAATGAATATTAACAATAAGTTATATTTGATCATCAAAAGTACAATTATCAATGTAGGCAAACAAAAATTGTAAACGTAGATATATCACTCATATAATTTCATTATCGATCTATAGGCAATTATTAAATTCAAATAGGGTCGAAATATTTATCGCAGAATTTGTTTTGTCAAAATGATTTCACATCTGTCACATAACAAAAGTAAAATGTACTTTATGGATATTTTATGGAACATAGTAAAAGTGCTGGGAAAGTTTCGCAATGAATTATTACTGACAGATACTAAGAGCTCTTGAAATGTGACATGAAAAAGTCTGAAAAGAGATTATCAATTGGAATTCTTTTTAATATGCATTCATTTCTTCTTTCATATTTATTATGCAAAATATACTTTCACAAGTAGTAAATAACAAATTTAAAAATATTTATCATTTTGCTCTCTGATTGAAAAAACACTTTTAACTATTGCCTCCCTTTTTCCCTGTAGGAATAAATAAAGCAAAAGTGATGTTCGAATATTTTCTTAAAGTCAATCGTATCAGTTTCATTAACCATTGATGTAAAGGAAATGATCAAATGGCAATATGCGCTACAGTTTGTTGAAATTTCATTCTCTTTAATTTATAAATTGTTTCATATAAAAATTAATTAATTCATAATCATCAGAATTGAAATGAAATTTATATTTTGACTTATTAAATGCATAGGATTGCTTTTGATATGAACCTAATTTGTAATGCCAAAAAGCAAATTAACAAGTTCTGAAATTTGCATTTTGGAATTTCATTGAAATATGTAAGTTACTCAATGTTATTTAAAGCTTTTTGTCAAAATGTATAATCGCACTATATCTTTGACGCACTAATTTTTATTTCTCTACGACTTATAAAAAAGGTCAAATCCTTTTTTTATAAACAATCAGGAAATATTTACAAAAAATTCCCCTTGCTATTTAATTGACCGATTACATTCCGCATTATATCAAAACTCTTTTGGTATAACTACATGATTAACTTAATGACAGCTCCATCTGTTACAAGTATTATTATTTCAATATCGATGGATGCCAATTTTTGAAGGTCAGCCAAAACGAATTCATATTTTTGTTTTTTTCGGATATCACTGCAGTTGGTCGCAGAACTCATCATCTATCACCGACGACAGCTCTTTCTATTCGGTTTTATGACTGTGAGATATTAGTAATAGCATGAGATCGCCTTATCTACTACATGGTGCACTTTTTACTTGAAGTACAGATTCAATTTGCATCAGATCAGATTTCTCCTAATACTTTTTAGCGAAATGATCAATACGATGTGACAAAATAAATTCATGATAAAAATAGAGATGAGAGGAGAAAGACGAGGGGTAGAAAGGAATTGTAAAAAAACTTTTTGTTTGGTCATCTCTCCCTCGCCGTTCCTCCACCCTTAAAATGATGACGATCCAATAGAAGGTGGAATATCGACTGAATCCAATGAATTGAATCCTATGCCATCAATAGACACATATTCATACACAAATGGTGATATGAGTGTCTGTCTGTACTGCAAGCGTTACATACACACACAACACACACGTATGTACGTACCAGAACACCGATCGCAAAGATTGTAGCGCACCCATCCATTCCGTGCTGCACTGTCGACGTGGCCCCTCCCATGGTCTTTCCTTTACTATCACTATCCTTATAATTGACGTTAAAAAGAAAAGGAAATGGTGTGCTTCAAATATCTTCCTCCTCCTCCTCCCACTTTATTGAATTGATTAAGATGAGAGGAGGAAAGGAAGGAAGGCTGAGATGTCTGCGCTGGTGCTGAAGGTGCTTCATGTACAGCCAATTTCCTCCCTCAACGGAAAACTCGTTTTTCTTGTATCGTTGAAAAAAATTCTTACTGATTCTTGCTTGCATATATTGCTCTGATTGAGTGAATAGCAGCTGATCCGACTATTTCCGGTGCTGAATTTATTCCGATTTATCATTACCCTTAATTTTTCTTCATTTCAATTCATTCAACGTTTCTTTTTTTTGGAATATTTAAGCATTTTATTCTATATGGATATGCAACAGCATATGCATTACGTTATCGGTCATATAGCTTCCCGATTGCCTGCAGAAATATGCGTACATTAGTTGTTGTGTCCAAAATGTTGATCGCATTATCCACTGAAGTAAGCTTTATTTATTAATAACAGCTTTTCTATTGAATACATCGTTCATCCCGGTTTTGGATTTATTTTACGATTACTTAGAATTTATGATACAGAACGAATCATTTTTTTACTTTTTTTTTTAATTTCACAGCTTCCTTTATTTTATAACTTCAGACAAATGACCATTACAATCCCGCAATAACAGATCATCTGGCTAATCACATTGGTAAATAGCATTCGTGGAATATTCTTGGATATTTACTTATTTTCGATGTTTCAATCTTCAAAAATTCTTCAAATCGAATAGCATCAACAGCGATGTTTTATGCCGATATTGCACGTCAGGACAGTTCCCCATAGATTCTCCAACAGCCACACGGTAGGCTACCGGAGATGATTGAACATATGGACCGGACGCGCCTTATCGTGTATTCTTAATGTGCTTCTGTTTTATACATTCTTTATTATCTTATGTACTGTTCTTCAATTTCACACATCGACGGGATGAAAATTAGAAAATCGATTTGGTCATTTTCACTCATAACGATGATTTATTTTACTCTGTCGGCAATTTCCATGCTGCTATTAATGTGCATCAATTACCTCTATGAGATGATCTTTATAGGAAATCTTATCATTCCTATATTTAAGACTTAAAGCTATACTGAAAGAAAGGTCAGAATTTGTATCATGGAGATTTATAATTGTAGAAATAGACGATGGCCATTTGTCGGACAAGCATTTTGATGAAAAATAATCTTTTGTAGCTATACTAATCAAAGCTCAATAGACTTGCAGATAAGATCGAATAATTTAAAAGTAAACAGAAACCAAAAAAAGTGACCATTTCGGTTAAATTGATCATTTACTTATTCATTATTATTAGCAATTTGCTTATCGTTATATCATCTCTGTCTTGCGGTAAATTAATGGTCCTTAATATATTCTAGGACTGTTTCGGCAACTTCTAGATTTCTAAGCTGATAACTTCTAGATTTTACAGCTAAATTTCCTTAAATTCTCTACCATTTTAAGGGAGCAAATGTTTTTATCATTCTAAATTAAACTACCATATCTTTACTATATTTACTTCTAAATTACTCTTCATTTTATCATTGAAATTAAACAACAATTTCTACCGTTTCTTTGTATCTAAACTGTATATGTGTAATGTACAAATATTAATCGGGCAACTTCTATCGTTACTGTGGAAATTTTTTCTTTGCGTCATAACTTGTAACAGTTTATTTCCATTTAATTTGTGGTAGCATAAAATCTATGCTAATACTTAGTTGCATTTAGAATATTTTAAACTGATGTTCATTCGGAAACCGAAACGAAAGAGAAGAAAGCAAACGAGAAGCGTTGTCAATAATTGTAATTTCCATTATAGCGTAATAAATTCCTACGGCGGAAAGTGTCTTTGTCATCCTCAAATGGCTCTTCGGACGGTTGAATTGACGATTTGACTTACTTGAATATTGTCCCGAATTTCGCTTTACTTAAATGTTATCACTCATTTATCCTGTCTCTTATTTCCGGTACTTTTTCCCCGACTTTGTCCTTCTCGATTATTTTGGATATCTAAAGATGCTCAAGAATCAATTCTTGGAGATCATCCGATATCTGATAATAAAATGAAAACAATAAGACAGTGTGGTGATCAACCCGTTAATTAATTAATATGGAATGATGGAAGCAAACAGGGTTATACCGATGTCAAGCATTCAAGAATTACATTTTTGACTTTTCTCCGATTATTAATCTGTTGAGAGCATCCATGATCATCACAGAGCTGATGATTTTCAAAATTCTTAAGTGTTCTCTTACATAGCTGAGTTTTTTGGAAGAGCAACAATTATTTATGACTTTCCTAACGCTTTCTACCCGTTACAACAACAGTATGATGACAGTAATTGCATTTCGGTACAATGACATCAGCAACTATGTTTCAACAAAATTAGTTAACAAATGAAATTTACAGTGCTCTTCATTTTTCATTCTTCACAAATCTATAAAGAAATCATAAAAACTTTATTTCTGCTATAATCTGCTAACCTTTCTCATCTCCAAGTTTTATAAACTCCTAACTGACGTCGACAATACCACATGAATTGCTTCTGTTTAACTTCTATTAACTGTTTTAAATGTTTGAGATTACTTTGGCACAGATATTTAAAATTGCAAATGCTACAGTGGATGACTTCAACCATTGATGACGACTTTTTTTTCTTGGTCCGTTGATGCTGCAGTGTCATCATAAGGTGAGTATTTCAGTGCAGCTCCACCCATGGCGACTTGATCGTGTCTCCAGGCCAAGAATTTCAAATAGCTGTCGAAACCATAAGCACATAGTGCTCCAAATGAGAAAAACTGAAAATTTGCTGCGGATATTGTCTATCAAAAAACGGAAATTTTTCACAGGATGAAAATGAAAGAAATTTCCAACTGGTAGGGATTAATTAATGAAAATTTCGCTTCTCATCCTATCAGTCCTGAAAGCATTCCGCTATCACATCATATTTCCTGCAAATGTAAAAATCAAAAATTTCATTTCCCGTGATGTTAACATTCATTTTCCTTCCTTTAAATAGGATTGATTTGAATCCAACAATAAAATGTGTATGGATTTAATCAATTCCAAATGTGCAAATTCTCAATGCTCTGCACACAAGTTCGCGAGGGAAAGACATGAAATGAAATGGATAAGTGTTATCTAAATTCATGTACCGAAGCTACACCGTAACCAGTTATACCACGAAATCGTGCCGCAACTGAAGCTAGCACACAACCACATATGAAGAAGAATACGGCCCAAGCAAAATAAAATATCATTTCCTGTAAGAAAAAAATATCATTTCGCGTAAGAATGAATTTATATTAATAATATTCAATCATTAAGAATAAAGCTCATTTCCATTTCATCTTTCACTTTATCTTCAAATAAGCAATCTCCTAATAATAGCCGCGGTTAGATAAATCAACAGATATGTATGGAAGAGTGAAGAAAGTTGATATAATTGTAAATTATTCAAGTGAAAGAATGTAGGCTGTTGTAAAATGTGACAAAAAGTCATTCAAATTTCTTTCTTATGAGACTAAGAATTTAATGAAAGAGGTACTGTTAAGAATTAATACAAAAATTTGTAACTGAAATTAACTGCTGAAGAAATTAAGATGAAATCCTTACAGCAACGATCCAAGGTATTTGACGAAAGAGATCGACGACATGAAATAAATAAAGGATTAGAAGAATTAATGATACAAGCATGCCAAATGTACAAATAAAGATAATCCATCCGGCACCGGTATAATAAACAGGACCACCAACCACTAGACATATAAAGCAAATAAAATCTAAAGTCTGAAAAAAGACTAGATTAGTAGATCGGTTTTTCTCACTATAGTTGAATAACAGATAATGATTGCCACAAACTTTAGACATTTCTAGAGAAATCAGAATTATTAATTTTTTAGTTATTTCTTGCAATACCGATACTTATTGCTTGAAGGCACTAATTGTTCCTTGGATCGAATTATTGTTGTCTTTTCTTTTTCCTAAGAGAAAATAGAATGCGTTTGTAGTAGATAAGAAGGATACGAAAATTAGCGTTTATTTATGCCTATTATTCATTTCTTTTGTTTGAAGCACATTTGATGTTACTCAAATTAAAAACTGTTAACGGAAACTTGTTTGTGTAATGAAATTTCAAAAACCATCCGGAAGTCGCCGAATTTCGTAAAACAGAAAATCAAAAAGAAGTCTTGATTTAAGAGAAAGTCAAAAAAAGTGATGAATATATGGGACATCAATGGACAAAAACGGAGGAAATAATCTGAATTGCATGACTGAATAAAAGAAAAGCCTTTCAATCAAAAAACGGAAATATATCATTTTTCATGTATCGCTAATTCAAACTTACTTGTTGTATTAGGAAATTTCAGAAGAAAAATTTTTCACACGTTTCCATACAAACAAAAATAAATCGTTTGGGAGTGTTATATTAAAGAAAAAACTTACAATGCACATACACTTCAACATTCCAGGTAATGTTTTCAAGTAATTCAGATCTAATTCAGGTTTCACAATTTCCATCTGATAATAGGCTTGTGATTGCTGATAATCACGAGCATCAGCAATAGTTTCCGTGATATATTGTTGATCATTCATTATTGATTATTATTTCTTAAAATAATCTGCAAATTTTCATATTTGTTGCGTAAATATTAAATTCATTGATTTCAAGTGAAGATTGATGATTTTTGATCTCTTTTAAATGAGTGTCAGATAGCTAAATAATAACAACTTCTAATCTTCTCACTATTTCTCTTTTTCTTTTTTGATGAGATAAATTTGACCATTCTTTTTTTCATCAAATTAATCAATGTACCTTAAGTTATTTGTAGGTGAACAAAGAGAGAGAGAGAGAGAGAAAGAAATGTGTCAGGGAACAGGATATTAAGAGGAATGAGCTTTTAAATAAAAATACTTGAAGGCGGAATACCTAATTATCTAAATATGCGAACTAATGCTACTACAAATAAAGATGAGAGTTATGATGGTGTTATTGGGAGGTAAGCTAAGAATGATGAAAGTCAGCTGTTCCTTAGACTGGACGATGTGGAGAAAGAGATTGGAATAAACTATTTCAACTCCAACAGTAGCTTCAATTTTTTGTTTTAATGTATGTATGCAGCCGATCGTTTCTTCAACAATGTTGATGTATTTGTTGGTTGTTATGTACTATAGTTGATAATGATGTTTATCTTCTATTTATCGAAATAGAGCAGTATGTACTTATTTTTTATTTGAATTCTTTAAAAATGATTAATCGACCAATTAATTTATCGGTTGATTAATGAAAAAGAAGTAGCCAAAATGTTCGATCAATTTTAATTACCATCTTTGTTCATTCAACGCATTTTAAAAATTTCAAAAATAATAAAGTACCTTCGTTTCTCACTCAATTTCATTACAATTTACTTTTTCTAATGTTTAAGATAAGATAATAAACTTGCTGTGTTTTTTTTGGCACACTATCTTATTAAAATTAGGTAATCTAATAGTTAAGGGCTAAATATGAGTATTATATTATAAATGATAAAGTATTATATTATAAATGTATAATGCCTATATCGACATATTTAACAAATTTCTCAAAGCTTATTGAACAGTCTATTCTCAACTTTGTTAAAATGTGTCATCATTAGTTATCGCTCATGTTGGTTTCGTCATTTTGTAGAATGATATGTTGAAAAAATAAAAAATGAATCATTATCTCCGAGTCCTTTGCATCGGAAGGTAGCACTACAAAATTCTCACCATTGCGCGAATCCTTGATATTTAATTAAATTTAGCAATTCATTTCTTTCAATTTCCTTTTCTCAAACAGTCTGGTATTGTTCCCCCTCCTCCCTCTCCCCAGTTAATCACTTTACCATTTATTCTATTTGGCATTGCAAACGATTTTCATTTGTGGAAAATTTCAGGTCGAGGAAAGCACTTTATAATGGATCAATTTCAGCAACTGGTTCCATATTTCCAGTTATTACTTTCCACATAAACTGATGTTAACACTCGCTCTACTTTTGTTTCCAGCAGCAATATTCGGTGATGCGGATGAATCGCTAACCTTAACTGTAGAACTTCCACATCAGATAACTGATACTCCACTGCAGGAAAATGAGCAATGGATCCATTTGGAAGCAGAACCGAATACTAAAAATGGTTAAATTTACATAACACTTCCACTCTTTGCTAAATAAAATTGACAAAAAATAAAAAGCTCTCCTATAATTTTACAACAAGACTGTTATTGCAAAGATACAAAAATTTATAGAGCAAACAACTGAGCAGAGGTCCAAAATTAATTTTTGTTTCTACCTAGCTTAGTTGTGTGGGCACTAACTGACTTCCATACAATTGTTCCAAATATAATGATATGCTGCACTGAAAGCAATTTTTTTAGAATAATTTTTAACGAACCTAATAATAAGACGATAATAATATTTCAGAATGCAATTTTGGAAGTTACGTATGCCGAATGGCCTGTATAAACGGCGGTATATGTTATAAAAATGATTCCAATAATCTTCGATTTTTCCTTGTTGGAGACATTGGAGGTAAGTAATTACCTTCTGTTTAATCTTAAATATTAATTGGATAAAAATAAATTGAGACCCTTTCCGCCTGTTCAATGTTTTTCAGTAGAAATTAGAGTAATTGTCTCTATTATCTTGTTGACAACACATTTTCAGAGGCCTATAACTTCATTTGTTTCACAAATATTTCACCATTTTTCTATTGATCGATCACTAAGTCATGTAACGTAATATTGTTAACATTTTAGGTTTGCCTATTTATCCATATACCACGTATGCACAAAATTTAATTGCAAAGACAATGGCAAAAATTGGTGACGAAAAAAATATCCAATTTACTATTTCGACTGGTGATAATATTTATTTCACGGGAGTGAAAAATGAATTCGACCGGCGATTCCATGTAAGTTTGAAAAATATAAAATCCGTTTTACTATCATATCCAATTGAACTAATATCTAATTAGTAAGTAAATAAACAAATAATCAAACAATAATGATATAATTAAAGAGTAAATGAAGAATGAAATATGGGATCGTGAAATTTCAATTCTTGATTCTATTATTTTAATCAATAATTTTACGCTTTAGCAAACATTCGAAGATGTCTACAAAGGAGAAGCGTTACAGAAGCCGTGGTACTTAATTGCCGGCAATCATGATCATTTTGGTAACATATCGGGACAGATTGCTTATACAAATCGAAGTCAACGATGGTGCGTTTTTTTAGACCCTTGAATCAATGAAAATGGTACGATTCATGCAATTCTGACAAAAGATTAACGATAAACTGCAAAACACAGTTTATCGGTGATCCTCTTTGTGATACCTTGTTATTAAAGCGTAGTAAATTTCAATGTAATAGGTGAACTATGATTCAAATCTTAAATCAAAAGCATAATGAATCGATTTGTAATAATCTGATTTCCAGGACATATCCGGCGAGCTATTATAAAATATCTTACGCATTCGGGAAGAATGCCACGCTGGTTGAATTTTTGATGATTGATACCATTTTGCTTTGTGGTAACACACGAGATGTTATAGAAGGTGGCTTCCTTGATATGATTCTTGCAACTGTTGACAAAAATCCAAATACACCGAAAGATCCAGTAGCGGCACAGGCAGAGCTAGACTGGATCGAACAGCAGCTGAATATTTCGAGGTTCTGCTTTAATCTCTAATTGTTTAAGTCACGCGAAATTTGATCTGAATATTTTATCAAAGCCTGAATGAGCATTCCAATGCAAGATGAAGAACTTTCTTCATTGAGCTCTACAGTCTTTTAGCTTATTTTATAAGTTCTTTCTAACAAAAAACTTTTCAAAAGCAGAGCTGATTATTTGTTTGTTGTTGGCCATTATCCAGTTTATTCCATATCTGAGCATGGTTCAATGAATTGCTTGATTGAAAAACTAAAACCACTTCTGGAAAAATATCACGCTACAGCGTACGTTGCTGGGCATGATCACACGCTTCAAGTAAGATTTTAAGATACTTTTTATTCTACTGATTTAAGTAAAGCAAATAATGTCGAAGGCTTGAAAACCAATTGATTAATGCATAACATTATTTTATATATCTCATTTGAGATTTATTTTATATATCTCATTACAAGATTTCGCAGTAGTTTTTTCGGAGAGTAAAATTCTGCCCTTTTAACGACACTATCTACTGATCTTTACGAGAAGAAAGTTGAAATAGACAAAAAAAATTGAAATTAGATCCGAAAAAAGCTGATATATTCATAATTGAAATAGCAGTACGAAACTAAAATATAGAATACTAAACTTGCAGCACATTATCACGAAACACTCGTTATCCTCAGAAAATGAGAAAAAAATTCCGCTTCATTACATTGTTAGTGGTGCTGCATCCCGATCAGACCATTCAGTTAAACACATCGACACAGTACCGGAAGGATCATTACGTTTCAAGTAATCAATTAATACATTTTTGATCATTTGAATTCTTAATCTTCGACACCTCATCAAAGCTATCTTAATTGATAAAGGTTTAACATTTGTTAATCTAAAGCTGACAATAAAATGGTACAGAAGATTTTTGCGTTGATTTTTGTGTTGAATGAAATATTTGAAAAATTTTTGCACAAATAAGTCAGTCGTATTGCAGCTGTCCAACCGGATTCAATCCATTCTCACAACTTGGTTTATCTAATGGTGGCTTCATCTATGTGAACATGGACAAAGAGAAGGCTATCCTTACATTTTATAATGGTAAAGGTGATGAAAAATATTCCTATAACGTGTTACCTCGAGGAAAGTTCACGATGAGCAAGGCGAAGAAATGATCTATAACAGGCTTAATTATTCCTCTTTTATTTCAATGAGAAAAATTTTTCACTTATAAATGAACTCTCAAATTTTCATACGCTTTGCTGCTGATTGGTACTTTAATGATCATCGTATGTTTGATTTCATCTCAGTTCATACCAACGTATTCCTCCTCTTTCTATCTCCTTGAAATGTAATGAATCTTATCTCAAATATAATCATTCAAAAACTCATTGATTTTCCTGAATTCATCATTATTTAGCACACTTCATAAAAGTATTATTTACATTTAACGCTAATGCGCATTTCTCCAATTTTAGTCGGAATTGTCTAATATTTCATGTAAATTGATTCGAAATCCCTTATTGATTGCTTCTTGCTAATGTTTTCTACTTCTTTTTTGTGCGTTTCAAATTTATTTGCTAATATTTTCTGTGAAATGTATCACTTCCTGAATAACATATAAAAATTTGTTCAATTCACACCAAAGTGTACTATGCAACAAGATTTCGTCTCTATGCCGTAATAAAATCAAATGGGATTAGTGAGAAGCTCATAGTCCTCTCCCATTGTTATTCTTTTGAAAGATATCCCAACCTAACTTTTGCTTCAAATTCCCGCAAGTCTATGAGAGACTCTTTGTAACCAATCCCAACTACTTCAGGAATATCGGAGTAATCAGCCTTCTTACAAAATGCAATGAAGGACATCCCCTCAAACGCGCCGCTGTCTTCAAACTCGCCATATCAAATTTGTCTCTCGGTGCAGTAGCACCATTTTAACGGGCTGCGGATTTAAATGCGTCTAGAAGACTGGGGTATTATTAGTAATGAGAGTTGTGCGTGAAGTTTCGGCGTAGCTTCGACCAGGGCAGAAGGATGTTGCAAGTAGAAGTGATGCCAGGATGCGGAATACGAAACGATTACATCGAGCTGCTCCTGGGCATGCCTATAAATCAGGCGATCGCTGCCATAAAGAATGCATCACGCCATATTCAGAATGTTGAATTAACTTACTCTTCCAAGGTATATCTTTATTTACGTAATGATATCAATGTACCACGTAACGAAGAAGACCTCTACCTACACGATACTTAATACGTAATTGCGGTCTTCCTGAATTATAACAGTTACTCTTTGGCTTAGATAGCAGTGCAGCTTGTATTTGGCTCAATTAGTGGACTAATGTATAATTTTACAACAACGACTGAGTGGAGTTAAGTATACTTGATACTATGATTTGAACACACTTGCACTGTTTCTTTTCCAGCTTGTGCTAAATTAGCAATTCGTTTCGTTCAAAGCGTAGAATCAAAGCGTTTAATTGAAAAGACCGCCATTACGTGTTAAGTGGTCGTGCATGCTGCATAGCATCAGCAGATGGTATCGTAAAGTCTAAGAATTGATTTATTATGTATAATTCATACATATCGAACTCAAGACACCCTTCGAAAAAAATTATCAGCAAATATCAGCTTTGCAACTATATCAAATACTCACACATGGTCTTTAAGGAGTAACTGCTGTAATTCAGGAGCCGTTGTCAAGAGATGTGATGATACGATTGGCGAAAGATGGTGTACGACTCTATTTTGAGCCTAACTCGCAACTGCTTCGGGTAAGGAAGTTATTTTCAATCTTTTTAATGCTTCACTTCCAAAGTCAGTCCACCATTTTATGTACCATTTTGTTTTGTTATTCCTCCATTTTTATATATGTTTTTCAGCTGATTGAAGTGTACGATTTGTCAAACATAGTCTTACAATATGGGTATGTTTTGTCAACAGTTATGCTTCTTGCTGTTCTTGCTATGACTGATTTTTTGTCATTTAGTGGTGTAGTATTCTCCAGTCCTAAAGATGAAGCAGATGTAAATAAAGTGGAAGGTTGTTTTGGCGCCACACATCCTGGAGGTTACGTTGCTTTTACATTCTAATTTTTTGCATTTTTTTTGACTGGTACAATTATCTTATTTTAAATGAAATCTATTTTCATTTTCGTTTTTATGATGATTTTGATTAATCCCAAGTTTTTTGAATGCAGAAATGCTTTTGCTTAACTACTTTTAATGGTTCCGAAATTTTAAATTGCACAAGTTTTATTTTCAGTCTATGTTGCTGAGCAAAGTTTGTACGAATTGAGTTGGAAAGGATTGTCATTCAGTTTTCCGACTCTAAATGAAACTTCGAAAGTGCAAGTAACCATAACCTTATAGAAAATAGAAAATAGTTCAAGTTCATGTTCTCGAAGGATATTAGGTGGATTTTTATTCCGTAAAAGTCTTACACCATCATTCTTATCTAGGAAGAATTATACCACCCTTCAATAATTTTGCAGACTGCATCGGTCGACGCTACCGGCTTAGGATCGCTGCAGTTCCGAAGTAACTCTCCGCCACTTCTTGCAAAAATGGCCATTTACCCAGATTCATACAACTCACCGAAGTATTGATTTCCTTTCTGAATATTAGCATCTAAAGATGTCTGGTATTTCACTTGTTATTTCCTTTCGAGAAAAATGGCACTTTAACACTTTTTAGGCCGCCAAAGATTTCGGCAGCTTCGTTATGTGGTGTTATATGCCCAGTTGAAGTGAAGTCTATTAGTGATGGAAGTAGGATTTCAGGCCTATCCGTCGTTTTCGCTGCAGAAAGTAAAAAATTCGCTCATTTTTACATGTTTCTTTCGATTTTACTAACATTTTAGGATAATCATGTATCATCATTTATTTGCAGCCCCAGTGGCGGATAGTTCGAGTCGAAAACAAGCTTTTGGTTTAAGAAAAATCGAACGGTCTATTTTTTTTGGCGATACTTCCGAGGTTAAAACAACTCTTTTAGTAAAAATTTCAGTTTATTAATCAGACGAAATAATTTTCAGAGTTCATTTTCACTTACACATCTTTCAGAGTGTTTTATCATCATTGGGTGCTCCATCCAAAGTATTTTATACGAAAGCAGATCGAATGTTAATTCATCGAGGAGAAGATTCAAAGAAATTGCGTGGACCACGTCCTAATTATTTCTTCAATTACTTCTCGTTAGGAGTGGTTAGCTGTACACTTATCTTTACTTTGTCCACACTTTGTGAATTTGTTAATGTTCTGAAATAAGCCAATGTTTTGATTAAAAACCTGGTCATTCTGAAATTATCTGAAATTAACTGCTGTAAATCACTGGCTTAAGTGATTTTTTTATTTTTTGTAATTCAGACTTGTGATAGAGAGAGTTATGTTTTTAAACAAATTTTTAGGACATTTTATTCGATTGTATCACTAATCGTGTTCAGAAATTTGTCTTACATACCAATTTGCCCGGCCACTTCGATTTTGGGATGTAAGTCTTTTAATTGTTAATATCAATTAGGACACAATAAAAATGTGTTTGTCTCCGAGCAGAAAAATTAATCGATTTAGAAATATAATACTGTTAAATGCTTTAAACAAATTAATGCGTGATAAATTTCAGATATGCACGCTGTACAGAAAAATTAATCGATTTAGAAATATAATACTGTTAAATGCTTTAAACAAATTAATGCGTGATAAATTTCAGATATGCACGCTGTAACTTCTGCATTACTATTACGGATGGTCCGACCATTACTCCTTCGTCAAAGGTTCAGTTTTTATTTTTCAGATTTGGAAGTTATCTGAGCTTTCTGGCAGCATTATATATTCCTTCCGAGTTTCAGCGGGAAAATTTTTTCGGTGCCTTCTGCGGTGACACAACTGTACAGCCAGTGGTGCTTAGTAGGAGTGGAACCGAAAATCCGTTTGGATCAACTTTTTGCTATGGCACCGATCAAGTTATTGTCGAGGTCAGAGAGATTGTTTTAGAAACTAGTCAATAGTAGGTGAAAATTGAATTCTATTTTATTTTACTGGGCCACTTTTAGCCATTTGGTTTTGTGATTTCAGTTAACTTGATTAAGGTCAAATTTGGTGAAGTCATCAATTTTAACAAAATTTCATGTAGTACCTTTTTCAAAGAAATAGAGATAAAAAAGATAATTAAGCTTTGTTGTTTCAAAAACTTCAGTTCTTTCAGGTGATGGACAATGGATTTATCGCATCGGTTACCCTTTTTTAGGGTATTTTTTAAATTTTGTATTGAAATTTCTAGTTTGCCTGTGTTATGCCTTTTTGCAGACTGGATGTTGATTTTTCGTCACCGTTGTTCCTTGTCTGTTTTAGCTTATTCTGTAACTGTCTCGTTTTCTTCGCTACTGCAAGAAAAATTTTGTGGACCATCGAAACATATTATTCGCATTCTTATCTGTAATGGCTATTGCTTACTTCTCTTATGCTTGTAAATATCATTGTAAAAATACATTTAGATTTGTTTGGCGTCTATTAGATGTATTGCAATTGCGGCTATTAAGTGATGGATAAAATAAACATTATCAAAGCATTTTTTTTGTCACTTTGCAGCATAACTAGAGCAGTAATGAAGTAGTATAAATGTCTGAAGATTTTTAAAGAAGAAAATAGAGATTTAATTTCTTTTGAGGGTGATAAAGCTCGTTGTTTGTGTGGTACCAATTCTCCCACGAGTAACTCGCACTGTTCTTATTTGCTAAGGTTATTAGGAGACGAACTGGTAGTTCTGTGAAATTTGTTATGAAAGCAAGTTTCAAGAAATTTTAAACTAATAATCGGCCTAATTAACTATTAACATTCTTTCCTGTCGCTCTGATGAACCATTGTGTATTAAATTAAGAAAAATGAGTAAACAGAAATAGCTGTTTATGACTACATTTTATGAGAAAGAAGTTGTTAGATTATTGAATTAAAATCTAGTTCTGTCTTAGATTAATAAAGCTAGTGTTTTGCAATAAATTAAATTGTTAAATATTAATGTTAATTTCAACGAAAAATTTGAAGGATAAAATATATAATATTGTCATCATACAAAGTGACATTGTAGTAAATATACTGCTCGATTTACATAACAATTTTGTTGCAATAGTTGAGGAAATTTTATGTAATTTTGGAACGATTTTTTTTCTTCTAATGCAGTGGAATCTGAAAATTCTTTTTTGTTATTGAAATATTGCTTTTGATTTGAAAAATACACCAAGTATAAATTCTTCAACAAATGAGATTGTTCGATGATCGCTAAAAAATTTAAGTGAATCTAAGGTCATAAATAATCTTGGTGAATTAACAAAATTAATATATCGCATTTAAAAATCAAATTATGATGAAAAAGTTGAAAAGATTCTCAGTATCAGACATCGCTAACTGAAGTATTCGTAATTTTTCTTTGGTATATGTATGTGTATGCAAGGGGATTGTTGTCTAGTGTTATTGTGATCAAATTGGTATCAATTCTAATCACTGATCAACCTTTAATTAATCATCAAACAATACATTCACTAAAATAAATGATAATGCGTGTGTATATATATATATAAACGAGTTTTGTCTTATAATACACAACAGAATCAATCCCAACATTTCACGGTCACAATCAATACATTAAGATGGGTGGTTGACATTGCTGTCTTCTTTATGATACTATAAACTTCTGCTTATTTTATATTTGTTATATGTTTAAGGACTTATGAAAATATTTAATTTTGCTGAAATGCTAGTGGAATTTGCAATTGAATTTTAGTAATATATTTCTTTATTTTACTATTTTCTATTAATTGCTATCAGTACAAATTTTGGGGTTAACTTTCTTCTGGCAATGGCTTCATTTGTATCATTATGTTGAAATTTGTTCATTTATCAGTACAGTATACTTCATTATCAACGCTGATATCTTTGTGCTATTATTAACTTTTTAATTTCATTCTCATATATTATTTATACTTCTATAATTTTGTATGTGAATCATATGACATATATTTGTTGAGAATTAATTATTTGAGTAGCTTTATGTTGATCAATCTCATTGCCTTTTATTGTCGCTTATAGAAATTTCTTTTTCTTCTCCTTTGTTGACCTTTGACTCTCTTTTCTTCTTCATTGCTAACCTTTGTCCCCTTCTACCATGCAATATTTCATGAGAATAAAACAGTATAAAAACCATAGCCACTGATATGTATATATTGCAAAAAAAAAGATCATTTATCCTCGATCTTATCATTTGCACAAATTATTAGTCCACATTGGTTTTCGCTGTGAAATGCATAGTGAAGTTATAAAATGTTATTACTGTCAGCTATTTCATCACAGAAATAATTCCTTTAATTTTCTTAAATTATTCATTAAATGATTAGTTTAATGCTTTTTGAATAAGTAAGTTCCTTTTCACTGTTATATTTCATAAGTTTATTTGTTTTAATCAATTCATAAATTTTTCATTTTAAAAGAAAATTGTTATTTAAAATGATTGTTTCTTCAAATTTCTTTGCATGTAAAGATGTTATATAACTGATAAGACATGAAAAAAGAAACTTTCTATTATTAAACTTTTCATTTCCTTACTCTCTTCCAATGTACAATCATATCTCACTTACTGATTCCTTACAGTATTGGTAAGAATTTAAAAAGGCCACTCTCATTTTTTCATAGATCGCTGCTTTTCTTTCTTCTGAAAAAATAGTTCTTCACATATACTGTTGAAAAAGTTGAAGAAAAGGTGTGCTTTGTGTTGGATAAAAAATAAATCGAAAATTATTTATTTATATTTTTATATCACTACCAATTATGTTTTTTTATTAGAAATACGATAACAAGCCTGAATCCGGATTAGGTGGCTTGTTCATTTCTGAAATATCGTTGCAATCGTATATCTTACTATTAATGAATGAATGACAGATATATCGTAATTCATTGTTTCTATAATATGAAATCGGTAAAATGGAAGTGTAAGAGATAGAAAAAGTTTCGCTTTAAATTTCAACACAACCAAAATGTACATAAATAAAAAGAAGAAAATTATTAATACATTTTTAATTGTAAAATAATTTTTCATAGAGAGCAGCTAATTTTTGCAATTGCTTTTTCACTAATTTGTTTTTACAAGGAAATTTCAATCTCTATTTTCACTAAATGAGCAATATTTTTAGTTTCTTTATTTCTTTTTCAACAATACTCTTCCATTGCTTCACTTTTTAGCAAACTTATCTATCTTTTCTAAAACCTTTTTAATATTTTCTCTTAAATTTCATGTTTTTTTTTCAACAAATTAGCTGTCTACTATTCTTCGTAATGTTTTTTCTTTTATTGAAAACGAAGTGAAAAAGTTATTATTCTCATTAAGCGATAATTTCGAATTTTTACATTAATTAATTAATTAGAACAAATGTCGTTGCAAATGTACGTACCTACAAAGATTCTTAATATTTTTAGATTGTATCATTTTATTTTACTGCACTTTCGACAACGTTATCCATTTTCGTTTTCTATCAACTTCTGTTATTTATTTCCCACAAAAATATACTGTAATTTTATGAAATAGAGATAATTTCAATGGATAAATCCTTCAATATGATCCTTGTGAATAATCAATTATAGATATTATGAAGCTACTTAAAATTGCTTACTTTTGATTTTTAGCAAGATTGTCAGATAAATCGCATTTCTCATCTGTTCATCCGATAGAATCGTATTTTGCAGCAATTGTGCATTGATTAAGACAAACAAATTTTAATATTGATAAGGATACCGGGAATTCAATAATTTTTATATAGATTCCAGTCACAGCGTTTAATTTCAAAATATTTTTCTGTAATCCTTCGTTTATATTTTAATCGCAAAGTTTATTTTCATTGCCGATTTATTGAAATTCCGCATATACTCAAAAATGAATTCATAATTTTCAATATTAAACTTGTTCTATCATAGATATGTAGGAAATTTTTCTTTTTTTAAATTATAATATAATAATATAAAAAGAATTGATTACTGATAGGTGCTGAATTAATATTTCAATTATGTTTTCAGGAAGTTTCAATTTTTCCTTTTAAATTAGTCTATTTAATAATCCGAAAACTTTATGTTTATAAGGGAATAATAGGAAAAATAATTTAATAGCAAATATTATACTTAAAAACTGAATATGGTTAAGGTTGTTAAGGTAGCATTTCAGGTAGCACTACCAAATTTGATTATTCCTCGTCATGAAATTTATATTGCACAATTTATACTTATGAAACAAATTTTCTAATTAATTCCATTAGTGGAAAAATTTTAAAACCAAAATTTACAACAAAATAAAAATATGAATTATAAGAAGGTTACAGTTAATTCATAGAGCAAGAAGATATGAGTGTTACAATATCATCATCAATAACCATCCTTATTGTTGCATTCTTTACCGTTTGTTCAGCACAATTTAATATAAGTGAATGTTTAGAAAGCAAGGTAAGTTTTTTTTTGAATTTTTGTATTGTTTATGGTTGAAAAAAAATTAGGAGAGTATATGAAGTGGAATTTTGATTTAGGATTAGAAATCAGTCCAACAAGTTTTGATAGAAAGGAATATAAGATTTTTGTTTTAATGATTAATCTCAAATATTACGACATTATTGAATCAATAAAAATTTGACATTTAGCATTTCTTAAATATTCCGGATACAATCAGTAAATATACCCTTCTTTATTCCCTTCCGTTTTCAGAATTGCATATTTATTTCGACACAATGTAACGAAAGAGAAGATTGTGAAAAAATCATTAGTTATGCAGCACAATTAGATGATTGGGTAGTAGTAGAACTGTTTTACAATACAACACATCCGCACACTAATTATGCAGCTATTGGCTTCTCTGAAGATATTCTAATGGTCAGTTTTAAATTGATTAAAAGTGAAAGATGTGACTATTTAAAGTAGATCGTGATGATACGAGATAAATAATCTAAAGTTGTTTAAGCATAACAATAGCCTATCATAGCCTTATCATGTATATTCAAGTTATTAAGTTGGAAATTTATTTTAAATTTTTTGCAGGGCGATGAAAGTGTAACACACTGTGGCTTTGATGAAATGAATCAAGCAGGTGTATTCTTGTCTCAAAATGACGGCAAATTTAATACACCGTTGAATTTAACAACAGAAGTAAGTAAGCCTTGCTAACATAATACATTCTTCTGTTATCATGTAAGATACAAAACAATGACGTGAAAAGTTTTTCAAAATTTTCTTTGATATCACTGTTTTTCTTGTTCTAATATTCTATAACTCATTAGTCATCAGTTAATGTGACTCATTGATTACTAGTTAATGATTTAGTCAATTTTTATTTCACTGCAAAATCCATCTTTCTTATTTCTAACTTATTCAATCTGTCTTATTTCTAATTTCTGTCTTATTTCTAATTATTTATAATTATTTATTTATGTCTTATTTCTAATTTCTAATTTCTGTCTTATATCTGTCTTATTTCTAATTTATTTGAGAAAATATTCTCAAAAGAGACAGAATTAGGAAGGATTTCTCTTTTTTTTTGTATTAATTGTATTAGATCAAATGAAATCTTTCCTAATTCTGCTATTACCTCTTTTGAGAATATTTCCATCTAAATTCTATTTTCAGATGAAAATAAGGCTTAAAAGGGAAGGAGAAGGGAGCATTTAAAAATCAAGCAGCAACCTATTTATACTTTAAAAATTTTCTCGCTATAATGGATTTTGTTTTATTCTTTAGAATGTTGCAAAATACGTGGAGTTATTAGAAGCTACTCATACATCAAATTCAATTTACTGTAAATTTCGACAAAAGATTACGCCAGATCAAGCAGCTCAAGAAGCTTATGTACCAGATCTGAATCGTACTTATTATTTGCTTTTAGCATATGGGAAAACTAACAAATATGAAGGTAGAAAATTAGTTTTCCTACAGTATTTCTCTTTTTCAAATTTTCTCTTTTTTAGCAAGCGAATATTGTAAAAATCAAATAAAAGAATATATTAAACAAACAACAGAAAACGAAAGTATATGGCAAAAATTCATCCAAAAGATATTGAAATAATTAACATACGTGGATTAGTTCAGCTGATAGAGTTTCATTAATGCAATTAATAAAATAAAACAACACAAGGTTTCTACGAATCTATTATCGCTTTAAAAAATAATTTCGGTCCAAGTTTCAGCAATGGATATGCACTCGTTAGATGGGCATTCAAAGGATTTTCCGCTCATTATTCCAACACCGGTAAATGTTGCTGCATGGAAAAAAGTACCAGAAACACCAACTAAGTTACCAACGAATCGTAAATTGGTTATCTTACATGGCAAGTTTTGCAAATCTTTAATAATTTAAATAGTCCACAAATATATTTGTGTTTTTAAATGATTTATCAACTAATCTTAAATTATGTTATTTAGTTTAAGAATATTGCAAAAGTTTTTCCTTTCAATAACCTTTAGAAGATTTCAGGTGTTTGATTTCAGGAAAACTAACTTGAAACCAAAATTTCAGGAATTCTAATGATTGTAGGATGGATGTGGTTGGTTCCTTCAGCAGTTTCAGCAGCACGATATCTTCGGGAACATTGGCCTGAAAATAGACCATTTGGTTTGAAAATATGGTTTCATGTAAGCTCATTATCATACTCATATTGACTATTATCGCTACAGATAGCTTTTTATTTTTGAATCATTAAAATTTGGAAAAATTTTATTTCCACAAAACAATTTGGATCATATGATAAATGTAATGCAATTTGTTTCCTTCGATGGATTATGGAAAAATTATGAATAGATTGAGAATGTGAAAGTTTTAATTTCCCTTCGTTCATCATTCAAACTTGTCAAATTCATTAATAGCCAAGAGCCTAGCATTTCATACATCAATGCTAAGGTTTTTTTTTTTATTTTCAAATTTCAGATACATCGTATAACGAATTATCTGGCAATTATTGTAATTATTATTGGTGTTTTGTCAGTATTTATTGGAAAAGAATGGCAATGGACCGGGCCGGCAATAAACAAAACTCTTAAACGAAATCTTTCTGCTGGAGCTATTCATTCTATTGTTAGTTTCATTAGAACAAATTGTCACTGATTGATTTTTTTTTAGAGTTATTTCTTTGGGTTAGGTATACTGATCTATTTGATCGATCATCACTTAAATACTCAAAAAGTGAGGATATTGCATGAAATTTATAAAATATTTTTAGTGTTATACTTTAATTTTAAGCCAAAATTAAAGGAATTTTAATAAGAAATTTTTTAAATGTTATATTAAAGATTGGTGCAATAAGTATTGGTGTACTATTAATTCAACCAGTGGGTGCATTTCTGCGCTGTGACGAAGGATCGAGTTATCGCGTAGTATTTAATTGGTCCCATCGCTTCTTTGGTCTTCTCTCTTTTTTATTGGCTCGTAAGTTTGACATTTCAATTTATGACTATTCATTTATTACAGCTCTTGAATACTGCAGGAAGTAATTATTTGAAGTTTTCAGAAATTTCAATAATTTTAAGTATCATTTTTTTCCGTCTCTGGTTACTCAGATGGGCTGCTATTGTTCTCTATGTCGTTTATCTTATTCTAATAGCACTTCTACTTTCTCACATGAAGGTATGCATTTCTTTTTTTCTTCAGGTATTTTTATTATTGGGAAAGACATTTTAATTACAATTATTGTATTAGCAAATTAAGTTAAATGACACTTTCAATTTCATTTTAGTCGAATTTGGAGGAATTTTAAATTGTAATAAATAAAACTAATCTACGTTTTTGTGCCAGGAAATTTTTACAGTAATCATATACGATATTAGTACAAATCCTCTTCATATAAAGTTAGCTGTTCCAGCAATTAATTGCAACAATAATTACAAATTTTGCAATCAAATGAACTTTTAAGAAAATAAACTCCCTAAAAGAGCATCAAACTGCGTCAGTTTCCTATGCCGGACGACATTATCATGGGGAACAAATTGTTATAACAAAAACAAAACACGATTACAACGTGAGTGAATCCTTTTCCTGTTCTATTTGGTAATTTTTGTAATGAAATACCGATTACAGGTTAACTCGGAAAAAAACTATTTAAATTCTAAATCTAACTAGAAAATTTTCAGACCGATAGATTAACAGTACTGGTTGTGCTAGCCTTTAGTGCAATGAACGCGTTAATTATAATTATAATGACGGCATTGATGCTAGCAACAATGTGAATGATGAGTGTTGCAAGAATTACTGTACTATAGTCATACCTAATATATAATGTGCAACAAAAGAAGTGTTATTCCTCACATCTATTATTATAAGATATTGAAGAAGTTCCATCGTCCTATCCAGGTGACATTGAACAGGTACCGGTAATGGAAGAAACAAATGAGCTTTCATACCTATAGGCGATAGTATACAATTAAGGCATAATTCAAGTTCGGACAGCCATTTAAATCGAAAATAAAAATCTCCTCCTGAATCGGAACACCAATAATGGTTACATAAATATCAACCACCAGTAATTGTTTTTGTAATTCTATATCTGTATCGGAAATGGACATCAAATAAACATAAAACATCTATCTAGTAACGTAATTAAAGCTATATACCCACAGTCATCAAATTTACATTGATATGCTTCCGAAGGAAACTGAATATTTCATAATGAGAATAAGAAAAATAAGAAAATAAGAAATAAGAAAAGTATTTCATAATGAGAATTTACACTCAGATTTAAAACTTTGAGTATTCAAGTATTCCTCAATTGGAATTTGGATGCATTAGTGATGACAATTTCGAACATTAAACTAAACTTTTTGAAAAATGCAGAAAAATGATAATCAATTTTATTTTTTGCCTTGTATCTGGTTGTAACAACATAAAAAAACAAAACAAATCAAAATATGGAAGGAAATTTTTTCTAATTAGTGTGCTTCTCCTCTGGAACACAGTAAAGCAATTTCTGGATTGCATGCGTCATTGAAACTGAAAGGTATTAAAATTTAAAATATTGTAAAGAAATGTGCACTTTCGAATTCTTATGCATTGCTGGACCTATATCAGAAATATGTTTCTTGTATTTTTGTCTTCCACAACTTTTTTTCGGTTGAAATATTAAAGTACAAAGCATAAAGATATCAAAGTATGAATGAAGGATAACTTACTCCACGGCTTATATAAACAAGCTGGTTTATTTTTCCAAAACACGAAAACAAAATAAAATGGAATGCCGGTGAGAATGATCAAAACACCAATGATGAGTTCGTTTGACTGTATGAAAAACGGCAGCATCAGCAGCGCAATGCATATAATCAGGAATGTAGCTGGCAACAGAATATTTTGCTGAAATTTAACTATCAATCATTTTTAACAAGTAGACTAAAGTACTAACTGCTCTAAATGTGGGAAATTTTAAACAATTAAATTTATAAAAATTACGGAAAATTACGTAACACCAAAGAGATAGTCCATATTGCTCAATTTTAATACTTGAGAAGGAACTAATACTTACAAATAAAAAACCAGCACTTGTCAAATCAAGTAGTCTTACGAACTCATATGAAAGAAAAAGTTCTCACTCCTTTTTAAGTTGCTTCAGCAAAGATCAGTTATAATATATAATTAATTGCTTTCCTCTTTCCAAGAAAGGTCATAATTCCTATTTTTAAACAGAATGCATGAAGTAATAGAATTAAAAGGCTCAGTTAAAAATAAGAAAAAAAGAAAAAATTCTACCTTGATTGGTCGCGGGAGGTTAGGCTGAGTGAATCGCAATTTGATTAAACCAGCAACAGAGATTGAGATGACGAATGCTTCAGTAAATGTTAGATAATTAATAAGTAAATAAATGTTTGAAGTAACCAACATCAATAGCGACAAGATGCCGAGAATTAGCAGAGATGGTAATGGTGTCAAATAATTTATAGAAATCATTGAAAGTAATTCTGGCAGCTTTCCATCCCTGAAGGAATATTTTAATACAAAAAGTGGTTGCTTTGATGGTTTTAAAATGAACCACGAGGTTTTAATGTGTGTTTTTAAGCTGTGGACACGAATAGTCTATCTTTTTCAGGTGAGTAAACAAATGCAAATGTAAAGTGTATTATTTCTCAATAGGGCCCGTTAAAAATCCAAAAAGTTGTATTGTAAAACATTCACTTCCTTACTATTTCTGGTGAAGGACATAGACTCTAAATGGCAAAAATTACTCAGAAGTTGAAAAATTGTTTGAAATTTGAAATTCATATAACCTAGCACCAACGAAGAACATTCGACTTGATGAGAAAATGGTACTATTTAAACCACCAGCGCATGAAATCGCAACAAATAAAGGCATTATTGATGCAAATCGACCCATGGCTATTTCCGCAAAAGTCATTGCAACTGCCTGTGAATCAAGAATTTCCGGTACAGACAACACAGCAAAATATGAGATGTTAACCAGCATATATATTACTGTTACGGTGAATAACGAAATCACAATCGCTAGGGGCAAATTCCTGAAATATTGATAAAGTTGTGCTCTTTTGTTTTCCAGTTCCAATCAAAAATTTCGTTATATATGTTCTTTTCTCTACTTCTCACAGATTACATTTTTAGCAAAAGTTATACTACATGACATCAACACATTGCTTACTTCTATATGTTAACCTAATAGAAAGACAGCTTCTGCAGACAGTCATAAATACTGATTGTAAACTGTTTTTGCAAACTAATTTGAAAATGAAAACTTATTTGTTCGGATTAATAAGCTCTTCGGTCACGAAATTCAACGAATTCCTGCAAAAAAAGAAAAAGAACTGATCGAAAAAGAACAACGTTTATTCGAAATGAGCTGAAATAAGCACTTCAAGAAATTGTATCTTTTTCGATTAAAAGAAAATCTAAAATAGTGTTAAAAAGTCAAAATAAAAGTTAAAGAATGGAATGTTTCTGAGATAAAAATTATTACCATCCACTAAATGAGAATACACCCGAATAGAAGGCCAATGCTAAGTGACTCGGATTTGTTTGTGTCCCTTCAAATAATATGGATGTTTCCAAATACTCTGTATTACCTAAAATAATTCCGTCGCAATCAATGATGGAATTTAGATAAGGTTAAGAATGAACTAAACAATTGTCTAGATCCTGTTATTTTATTCTAAATTTCTGATGATTATAGTTTCAGCTTCTATCAACTAATATAACATGAAAGTTAAGTAAGACATAAATCAAAAACAGGTTTGATCTAAACTAAAATCGGATTAAATTAAGATAATAAATGTGAAGAAATATGGAAATTCATACCCAAACAAAACCATAATAAACCAGCCATGATAATGACACAGAGCGCAGCTACTTTGGCTAAAGAAAAAATATTCTGCACTCTCATTGACCATTTTACACTGCAGCAGTTGAGAAATGTCAATAAACCTGTAGCAATATAAAAATCAAAAAATTTTCACTATCTCGCAATACTTCTCAAAAATTCTGCCCTTCGAATACGACCAGTTAAAGTTTTACTTTCAACCTGTTAGTGAATTTAGCAGCTCTGAAATTAACGGTTATTCCACCGTATGCTACAATCCAAAGAACAAAAAATTTTTTCTTGTGCTAATAGTTACATAGAGTCATATGCCAATACAATTTTCAAAATCAAAACATACAAATTATGCAAGCAGCTAATAACCTCACAGCATTATCAGGTAATTCGCAATTCTTGAAAAATGGTTGAAGCGCATATTGAGCAAATGTTAGCGCCATAATAGCATTTGTTGTCGGGTTAATCATAACTAATGCTATCCAGAGAAATACAAATGAAGGTAAAGATCCAAATGCCTGTAACGTAAAATTACTTTAAGAGAAATTGAAAACATTATTTTTGAAGGCTTTTACGAGTTTTAATAATGCATATATTCGAGTTTTAATAATGCATATATGGAGTTTTAATAATGCATATATGGACATAAAATAAGATGTGTTTGCAAAGTTGTAAAATGAGGGCTGGAAATATAAAACCATGGCTTGGTTCAGGATGAGAGGAGGGGAAGTGGAATAAGATCACTATATGATTTCCTTATTATAATCTATGATTTCCTTTATTTAAAAATTTTACTTTATATTTTAATCATATTTTCTTTATCTATATCTTCATACTTACAAATTGCTATCAAAAAAAGCCAAAAAAATTCTGGATACATTGACTGAGACAAAATGATATAGCAAAGCAAACAATTAACCAGAAACTTTTTGTCACTAATTTAACTCATTTTAATTTCAAATCTCGCTAATACCTTGTTTTCCTTCCAATTATGAATTTAATTTCCGCCTGATGAGACTAACGTCCAACCTTGGAGGTCAACGCTTTTCACATTTCAACAAAGCACTTATTTCCCACAAAAATGTTTAAGAATGTTACGTTATCCTAACCAATAGACAAGAATAAAATCTGGGACAAAGTTTCTACACCATTCGAAAAGAAGGATGAAAAACTGGTTTGAAAAATAACTAATTTTAAATAAACCAAGAATCCATTTTCACACCTACCTCACTGATGTAGGCATACTCACCGCCACTTTTAGGAATGGTTGTTCCAAGTTCGGCATAAATAAAAGCGCCCATAGTGGCAAACGCTCCTGATAAAATCCATATCACCAGTGACAAACCAACGCTTCCCGACTCAATCAGAACACCTTAAAATAAAAAGATTCACCATAAAAATTTTAAGATTTTAAGCGTTATCATTCCTTCAAATGTTAGCATTTCTTCAGAAAACTGAGTTTTTCGAGATTCTAAAATGTCCGACTTTTGCAAAAAAAAAAAAAATGTTCAACCTTTAGGGCTGACAAATATCCCAGAACCAACAATAACACCAATAATGATAGCACAACCATTAAAAAGAGAAATTCGTCGCTCGAGATGAATTTTGTTTGAAGCACCGCCACCTAAGGATTCCATCTTCTGCTATAATGGAACTGTCACTATTAGAGGACTGAAACAAATGAAAATTCAATAAAAACGAAGTGACAAATTGTTAAATAGTTGACATAGCAAAAACTCAACACATTCGCCATAATGCTCCACAATTCCTTTTTAATTACAGCCATGATATGATATTTAATAGTCTCAGTATATTATTTATCACTGTACTGATGAAGAATGATAACCTGATAACGAATGCTTTGGAACGAATGAATATCCTCTGAGAATGGTCAGTATGGGAATGAGAAATATAGACTGTACACTAACTTCTTTTGCTGAGAAATATTGAACAGGATGTTGCCTTAGAAGTTAGATATAGGGTCTGAACTACCTTGAATTTGAGCTTTCAAATTTGGAATTTTTTCCTTTTTTCTCCTTCATTAAACCAAATGTTTTCTTATTCAATAAATTTCCGATTTTCAGCAAATATCCTATCTGATATATAATATCAAGAAAATTTGGACGGCATAGTTTTAAATTTAAACAATGAAAATTCCCTGAAAATTGCGTTTTTTGAATATTATCAACGATAATGTGGACAGTGACAACACTAAAATGGTAAACTATATCGTCGTTTTACCATCGTAAACTCAGTTATTGGGAATAAAGGAATTTAAAAGATCATCATATTTTGTCGACAAATGATGCTGAATTTGATAAAAAAGACTGGCAAAAACTAGTCAGAAATGATACTAAACATCAAATGATTAGTAAATAACGAGTTTAATCGCATATGTGCGCTACAATCTCTATACTAATAAATTAATTCTTTATCAAAACAAAACTAGTTAAAACCAAATTAGTCTTATAAAATTTAAGCTATCTATCTGTTCGATGAGACCTTATCAATATTAGCAATCATTCTCACAATATGTTGCACAAATTAATTTCAGCTGACTTTTACAAAGCAAGCAGGAAAATGGAAGAAAGAACAGGATAGCATTGAATTTATATATTGTAAGCAGCACACACACACAGTACATATACACATACACACACACACACACACACATACACACACACACAAAAACATATGCATACAATATATACACACACACATACATACATACACGCCTAACTATTCATTCACACGTAACGAAAGAATACCAAACTAAAACCTTCCTTTCCCTAATGGCAACATTATTTTCATACTCTGTTAAAAATCGATAAGTGTGATATGTGCAAGTGTTATATAAAAAAATATATATGCATAATTAAGAATAGAGGAGATAAGCATAGCCGCCATTAAAGTTAAAAGAAATAAGTTTTAAAGAATAAGGAATTTGTGACACGAGGACGTATTATCATCTATCTATCATTTTACAATTCTCTCTCCACTTTTAAGTTTTTATGTAAAAGATACCAACGATGGTCACTTCGAAGATGAAAAGATAATGAAGGAATGACTGTATATCAATTTTATTTAAGTAGTAGGAACACATTAAGCAGAAGGTTTATGCATAATTTTTACAATGTGTTTCATAGTTAAAAAGTGTATATTTCCGATAAAAACTATCAGGAAGCACTGATAATTCAAAACCTGTCAATTTATGAGCCAATCATTCAGTAAGTGTATATGCTTAAAGGAAGTATATTATATCTACATAATGGTCATATTTCATTCATTTAACTTTGAGTTCTCAATATGGAAATATCCTAAACTGATTTGCAAAGCAGAAATTTCGGTGTTCCAAATTAGAAATTGAAATGCTTTTTTGTGTGATATGGGAAATGCTTTAATTAAATACTTTGTTCATCTTTCAAGTGCTTTACAAACCATTTTAGGGTATTCACTTCATTTAACTATCTACAGTTATCATTGTTAACACTAACAGCTGATAATTAATGCTACTTAATCACCCATAGCTGTCATTTCCTTGATATTTATTCCCAGCCTCTAAAAAGGAAATTCAATAAATGCCCAAAAGATTTTTCCAAACAACAACTGAAACTAACTTTTAAAAGCACTGAACGAAATGAACGTACCATCAAATCATTACCACAAACCGCCACCGCATCATACATACAATATAATTCTGGCATTACGAGAATCGTATTCATGTATATATTTTTGCATGTTGCGGTCTTGCGGAACTTCGTATTTTTCATTTAATAGAAGATCAAAAGATACTTAAATATTCTTAATTTTTTGAGAAGCTTTGAGAAGATTCATTGAAATTCAAGAAAAACTGACCACATCTATTTATTAAAGAAAGGTAGCAGGAAAATATAATAAGATTCTACTGTGAAATTTTCCACATTCAATGACTACACCATTTATTCACTTACTCAATTTCGCCGCATCTCCTTGTGAATCAGGAAAGATTAATTTTGAAAGCGGATGTCACTTTATGTTCAAACTTTACCCGAGCTCGCTGCAATATTTGCAAAAACTACCGCCGCAAAAGTTTGCTTACTTCTTTTGTTCACAAAACCACTCAGTATATCTGATCCTGTCGAAACTAGAATTTCCATTTAAAAGTTTACCTAATTAGACAATCCGACATTTTAAGAAAAAATTAGAAGGAAGTAAAGTATCTATATATTACCAATTTAACTACAACGATGAACAAAAAATGTGCGATTCAAAATTCACATAAAAGGATTTTTTTTGTAGTTAAGTTACATTCAATGTATAAAATATGGATGGGCAAACAAATATTCATTGGAAATTAGTCTTATAAAAAGGATTGCTGAGGGAAACTTTTGTTTTCTTTCCGATTTACCACCAATTGGTCCTGTCATGTTAACCATGTTAAACGGGATGCAGAAAACAAGGCTGAATAAACAAAAGTTTACCGATTTATTCTGATTTACAAAAGTTTACCGATTTATTCTGGTTTACAAAAGTTTACCGATATATCCTATCTATTCTGGCACTATTTTAATTAATCTACTAAAAAAATAGTGTGGTGTGAATTTTTAATCTTCTTTCTCAACTTGAAGCTTACATCAAGTAAGCTCTGAACTTCAGGATTGAGTGAAGAGCTTAATGTGTAGTTGTACAGTTAACTAATCATCACTATAAGACGAAAACATTTTTTCTTAGTTTACGAAATTTCGGAACCCATATCCGAATTTTTTCAAGATTTCTTGAACAAAGATTATAATCGTCAAAATGCCGCGTCAAAAAAAGTTTAAATTGGAATCGCGAAGGTTCCAGTATCTAGTTCTGCATCATTACTGGCAAAGTTCTATCCAGTCTCTGTTAGCAAAATAATTTATCTGCTGAAAGGATACAGTCGTCCTCTCCGATACTAACTACGCTAATTCTTGTTTTCCTCTTTTCTTGAAAAGAAAATTATGTTTCACAATTCAAAACAGCTCGGTCAAAATAATAACTATATGTTTTTTTAATAAAACAGATATGAACCGAAATCTATGTCTTTTAAGACTAGAATGACCGAAAACATTCTGTCTTGTCCAATGTCGTATATATACAACAAAAAAATTTCAAAGATTTGTGAAAAGCTTTGAAGAAGACATAATCGAACAATGATGATCCAAAATAGCTGGTTCTGTACATACGCTTAACGCATGTCAAATCTGTCTGTTTCCCGAAAATGTTATCCTTCTTGACCAAAATCTTTCGTGAATTGCATCAGTTTATCCAAATCTGCCTTATTTACTGTTGGTTTCGTGTTCATTAACGATCGCAGCATATCGCTCTGAATTTTAATGAAAGATTCGCAAAACAGAGCACAAAGAAACAGTCCTATATCTTATAAATTTAATAAACGAAATCATTCAACTCATTTTTACTTCTCGTCATCTCTCGATACCTCTTGAAAGGACGAAAAATTTGACAAGAACATACCATTGAGAGAACTGGTTCAGCTAACTTGTCAGCGGGTACATCTATGAAGGACATTGCCACAGCACCTGAATCACCAGGAGAGCAAGGAGTCAGCAAATCATGAACAATAACATTACAATTCGAAGGTGATGGCCCAGAAACGTGCTTGAAATGGGTAGCTGTTTGCACTTTACGAATCGGTTGCATCAGAGCTTCCCGCACAACAATCGAAATATCGTATCCAGAAAATCCTTCCGTTTTTTCTGCAAGAGTCTGCAAACAACAAAATAAAAATTAAAGAGCAACATGAAAATCAGGAATGATAAACAATTTCCCAATAGGAACCAGTTAAATTACGGTCTTACCTCACTAGCATTAATATATTTCTTTTCTTCTTCAAAAAATATAAATTTCACATAACTAAAAGCGCATTTCCTAGAAATGCACAAAAAATAAACCTAACTAGCACAAACCTTGAAGTCCTGTTCCGTTAATGAATGTGGTGTGTTCTTCCCGACATGCAATTTAAACATATCTTTCCTAGCATTTGCTTCTGGTAGTGGAATATAAATTCGTTTCTGGAAAGATAAAAATGTCAACTGCCAATTACTGGGCTTCTAATCTAAAGCGTGTTAAGCAGCAGATAAATCCTTGTGCAAATTATGATCTAATAATCTTTGCAGAACATATACACATATATTCCACTAGAAATGAAACTCATGAATGACCATGAATTGCATCCATATGACATGATTGAATTTAATCGTTTAAAAGAATCACCATCAGATCTCTAAACTCTTTAACCGCGAAGTGATTTTATGATTTATTGAAAACCTACGAAATTAACTGGCTTAACGCCTCAAAAGTATACGTTTCGGTGTGTACAACTACAGAAAGCATGAAATATAAAGCTTACAAATGAAATGCAACACATTTATCTCAAAAACACAACCTCAAATCGTCGTCGAATAGCAGCATCTAATACCCACGGGATATTAGTAGCACCAAGTACTAAGATGCCTTCCACATCATTACCAACTCCTTGCATCTGAACTAAAAATTCGGTTTTTATGCGTCGAGCCGATTCACTTTCAGTGTCAGAACGTGAAGAGCATAACGAATCAATCTCATCGATAAATATTATCGATGGTTTATGTTCCCGAGCCATCTCGAACAACTGCTTCACCAGTCTGGAAAAACCGTAGAGATGAATGCTGGACATAAGGTTTTCGGGATCGCTTCCGATATTCTTTTTATATGAGGACCCTACTTTATAATAGTTTATACTGCATTCTTATAGATTTTAACCCTTTTGACTCATGATTCATTTTAACGAAGTTTCGCTAGCAATTTATTCTAACAGCCCAAAAGTCACGCTAACTTCCAATTTCCATCATTTTTCAGCCGTTGATCACTTAATCATCCATGTAAGTTCGAAACTATTTCTAATTTTCTGAACGTCATATCTTCGTCATTGTGTCGATCTGGACCTACGAGCTGCTGATCCGTGCTCTTTAACCCACTGTGAAATAATGTGAAAGATGTATTTTGTGTCCACATATATTCAATTTTTTTATGTGTCAAAAACACAAACCTTTCTGACTCGCCTAGCCATTTTGACATTAGATCCGAAGATGACACTGAGAAAAATGTTGAATTGTTGGCTTCTGTAGCAACCGCTTTTGCGATATACGACTTGCCAGTTCCTGGAGGGCCGAAGAGCAAAATTCCACGCCATGGTTTTCTATTACCTAGAAATTGAAAATAAACAAAGACGAAAAAAACAAAAGAAATAGAAGTAAAAAAAGTAAAGGAAATGAAATTCCTATACAGTCAATAAACTTACTATCTAAAGAAAAGAAAACAAAATAAATCTCAAAAGAAATACATAAATAACAGTCTAAAGAAAATAGAACGAAATAAAAAAGAAACCTATAAGAAAGAGAAAAAATATATATATATAGATGTTTGCACAACTATCTATCAATTTTTGTCGGACAAAGTGAATATCTAATCCAAGGAAATAATACTAAATGTTGAAGTGAAACATTTAATGCAAATCGTCACAAATTTAATTTTCAGAAGGTACGATGGCGCGGTGCAAGACAATTAGTCCACAGAGTTCGTGAGTATGTAAAATCAATAATCCACAAAGGCTGTCCCCTCTGAGTCTAGCTAGTGTAAGCACACTGATTAGCGAGCAGCAGTATTAGTAGAAATCATATCAGAGAAAGCAGTAACGACAGCCTATCATGCTTATCCAGTGGTGAATAGCACCGATATAAATACGCACACATCAATACCCTCTCATCTGTTTTGCTATGTCGAAGTACACTCCTTGCAATATTGCCAAAATGATAACCGGCAAAGGTTCTAAATCTTAATTCTTTTCGTTTTATTCTTTCACGCAAGAAGTATAACACGAAATCCACTATAAAAATCTCTGGGAATGAATGGGTGATAAAAACATTGCTTTTTTCCTGGTCAATAGCTGGAATGATGTCCAGTAGTACAAATTAACCTCTATGATATATTTTGGTAACCTTATAACGAATTCCTGATCAATTTCTAATACAGATTGACCTATCACTACAAAACACATAGTCCTTCATTATTTAGTGTTTTATACAAATTAGTAACATAATGAAACTGTATATCTAATTGCATATATAGCACTGTTTTGATGTCTAATGAATTGCTCTTTTTTTTAATCTACAATACTTACTTCCCGCTTTGCAGTTATCATGTTACTGGAGCCTAAGTCTGGAGCGAATGTTATAAGCTGAATTCCGTAAAAAACTTATTCCCGTTTGGGGTAGAAAATTTCTATTAACCCATGAAGCTGTATCCACGTGAAGAATTTTAGCTTTATCTGAAAACATGATTAAACGATATGGCTTGCATTTTACTTCATTACTTTCCTAGAATATTTCCATTTCATAGTTTCGATTTTGAATTTCATGAACTTCCCTTCTGAATTGTAGCAACATTGAATACTATTCAGAGTCTCCTAAATTTCCTAAGTTACTTAAATCCATGTTGATTTAAGTTATAGCAACCTTTTCACAAAGGTTTTGTTTCGTATAGCTCTAACTCTTTATATGCATGAATTTTGCTTCGCCGAAGTAATCAAAAAAAAATTAAGAATACCTATAACATATCGAATTCTATTTAGAAAATGTGGAAATTTTAAAGAATAATCTCATCTACGTCACTAAAGATTATTCTGACTGAAATGTAGATCAGCTCGCTTTCCAAAAATCAGCAACGTAGCATTCCTCAAAATTCATAAGAAACCAAGTGTCGAAAAAAATCAGTGCACGAGTGTAGCACGACTATGGCGACGCTTTCAGCAACAACATCCAATCATTCTGAGGTGCTAATTACTGCAATTGAAATGGCTGCTGAACCACAACCTTTACTCGCTATTACATTTGCATGCATTAGTTTATTGGCCCTACTGGCCAACTGTACACTGCTGATATACATCATTTACAACAGACTATATCGTAATTTCATTTCATCCCACTTCATTGCCCACTTATGTATAACAAATGTGGTAGCCCTATGCCTCCTACTGCCAATGTTCATTTACAATGTGTGGACAGGAACCAACATTTGGTCCCACAGTAATGTGATGTGCCGAGTACAGGTAATCATTAGTCATACCGTTTGGTTTGGTCCTTATTTGCTTCGCGAAATTCTAGTCAGTCAAATACCAATGTTTCACTATTTAGAAAAAGAATAATATTTGTTTATATTCCAAAAAAAAAAACACTGCTTCAACAACACATACTTGATTTAACCTTGTTAGTTCAGGAATAATTACTTCCATGAGCAGAAAAGTTATTGCTTTCCATAAGGAAAAAAGCTACACTCTAACCATTTTAATAAAGTAAAATGCTTAAAACCTCAAACGATGTCATTTAAAGATCTTTTCAGTGAAATATAACAAACGATTTTCTAATTCCAACAAATTGGTTTTTAGTGTAAGACCTTCGATAGGAAATGAAAATATTCCGGCAGTATTAAACTTCTAGAAAAATTCCATGTTCTGTAGATGTGCAGGATAAATCAGGAACATTTTGAATCAATTTTTGAAGTTAAAAAATGTAATTTCAGGCCCTGCTGACTTGTGCTGCATGGACCGTGATACATTTCATGGCACTCTGCATAGCCGGCGTACATCTGCTTACTTTTGCACGAATACATTATGAACAGCTCTTTGGTTTGCCACCCAATATGTTATGCGTCCTCTCCTGGCTGCTGGCATTTGGTCTAGCGCTACCAACAATTACCAATGGACATATCATTATTTACGATCCATCATTCAGACACTGCATATGGGGAGACAGGTTTACTTAACTCCTTTATTCTAATATCCAAATTAATAGACAATAAGACAATTTGCATCTTTTAACTCAGTATAAGGCTTGAAAAAAGCGTCCAAAATACTTAAAGCGAAGACTTCACTGCTCTTACAAATTTTAAGGAAATTTTGAGAAGATTCAATGCATACCCCACAACCTATTTAACCAGAACATGCATTTCAGCGACAGCGGCCTTAAATTTTTAACATATCTTTTGATTCTGGGAGTATTTATACCTGCATCACTGGCTTCCTATGCTTACATCCGAGTGCTCGGCATACTGTATCACAGTCCGATTGTATTTCAAAGCATTGGCTTGTATAAAAGTCGTTTTCTGGTTTATTCATTTCTATTAAGGTCTGTTAAATTTTTGCCTGTTTTGTTCAGATTGAAATTTTGGTAGACCCACCACTAATTGATTTTCAAGTCACTACCAAAATCACGCTTACTCCTTAATAATCTCGTAATTTTAAAATGAATTTACTCGCGATGGGTCTTATATACTCTCTTTAAATGCATTTTAAAAATTAATCGTTGAAAAATGAAAAGTTTTAAAATCAAATAGCTTAGATTGACCAAACAAGTTAAAATCAAGAAAAATTTTTTCTAGTCCTTTCTACCAGCTACCATTCTACGCGATAACGATAGTGAAAGACTGGAGAAAACCGGATTCAACATATCCTGTTGTAGTGCTATTCCTAGCATTTATGCAGTGCTTCATATCTCCGGCTCTTTATGGAGCATCTCTATTTCTCATGAAAGAAGAAGATATGGCGTTAACAGCTCGAGCTCACAAAGCGCCCAACGCTCACCCTCTCACGCAACACTTATAATTTTGCCAGTGATTATATTAATACTACTGTGTCCAGTTCAAGTATATGTAGTTCCAGTAAATATTACCTATCTCAAGAACACTTAAATCAACCAATATTAAGCAACAATTACCGTAGCACTCATATTGAGAAATTAGTAACTTTTTTTGTAACTTTAAGGAAACTGACAGCCCGACGGATTTAAAACTTTTTAAGCAATCGAATGGCAGTGATAAAATAATGAAGTTGGTAATAACGAATCAATTTAACTTCAGAGCTATATCAGTTCTAAAAGCACACTAGTGAAAAATAATTTTAAAAGTCCTGCAGTTAGAAAAAGAAACAGTTCTGTTAAATCGATCTAATGAAAAAAATTCGAATTTAAAATAATTTTGGAGAGTTACAAGAAAAAGATTCCCAATAAAAGCAGTACAACATACGTCACTCCTATTAACTTGATGGACTTAAAAGTAAATCCTAAGAATCATGAATCGAGAAGATGTATGTAAAAACGGTTATCTTATTTTATATCTTTATTTCTACTAATCAACGCTAAACATCTTCGTTTGTAAATCTTCGAAAGAGTTTTATTAGCTTCATAAAATGCACAAACCTGTAAATAGTTGAGGGAATTTGATTGGTAATATGACTGCCTCTTTCAATGCCTCCTTAGCTCCCTCAAGACCAGCAATATCATCCCAGCTTACATTTGGTTTCTCCATAACAATGGCACCTGATAATCTTTCTTGTAATTTTTTGTTTTCGGTATCCTTCTCAGAATCTGAATCTGAACCTTTCGCACCAGAAGCATCATCTTTCACTGCTTTCTTTCGATCACCACCAGACTACAAAATTTTATGTGAAATTTTCTGAATCTATTCTAACCCTTCCATGAAATTTGATATGAGTATTTTGAAACACTGTAAGAACCACAAAGACTTAATGCTGTAAGAAGAGAGGGATGAGTTTCAGATGTTTCAAATAAATATCTATAAATTTTCTGAATAAATTTTCATAATAATCAAAAAGCACAGATCACCATAAACTCTGCAAAAAGTGTGAAACGAAACTTAGATGATCAGGATCAGTTACATTGAGTTTACTAACTGGTGCCAGAGCAATTCGGTAATTCTTTTGGCAAACGCTTACATCATTTCAAAAATACGACATAAGTTGGCGAAAATAATTTGTGCAAAATTTTAAATTACAAAACTAATATAAATTTTACAGTTCAACATTTTTTATATTAACTGAAAGATTCTTAAAATCATTATCAGGCAATTCCTCATAAATTTTCATTGCTGAACACAGAGTAGTAACAATCCGAATAAAGCAAATCATTTCATTCAAATCATGTCATGAAATCATTATAGAATTCTCGCTAATCAGTTCAACCTATCTTAACTACAAAACTGCAACAAATAGTAATTTCAAAGACGGTTTGGAAAAAATGAACCAAATTCGGGAATTTAAAATACCATCTTAACTTATATTTCCTCATTTCAATTTTTTTCATTATTGAGCAGCAGAAGACAAGTAGAAGGATAAACGATGAATTTAAACATTTAATCAGCTTCATCGTCAAAAGAATAACCTATTTCACAAAAATTAGCAAACTTGATTACTATACCTTTAGATATTCCTTCACTTTTTCAGCTCGATCTAAGTAAGAAGCACAACGTTGTCGAATTGTGTCCTTTTGTTTCTCACTTTGAGCTTCATCTAAATGCATTACATCAAAATCATAGAAAACAAGATATTTAACATATAATTCAAAATATAAATAAAAGTATAAAGCATGTGTCAAATGCATGCGGCTGTCGAAAAATTCGGTGGAGGGAATACGCTAACGTTAACAGTGTATTCCAAATACTTGCTTCTGAATTGAATGCTAAAGTACATTTAATTGCATGAAGAAAATAGTCGATCCCATGTTTATATAATCGTAACGCTTCTGGATAATTTTTTTTTTTGTCTTCCTCGGTTGCCTTTGTTACCAGTTCAATTGCTTTCTGCAATACAAAAACACAAAAATTTTGCTGCTAATTAGTATGTCGAAAATAAAATGGAAACTAATTTAAGATAATAGATATTTGAAGATAAAAACTGAAAAACGAATCCTTCACTTTACATGGAAAAAAAATAACGACGCTTACTTGCAGTGTGGATCCATTGCCTGACATTCTGCAAACAAAATGAAATGACTCATATATCATCCCATATAAATTTCATCAACACCAAATTTTAAGAAAAAAATATAGAGAAATTTATGTGTGAAGTTAAAGAGGAAAAACAAATTTAAGAAAGAGTCCTGCAATCAAAATCATCAAGCTTCCCATCACAGAAAAATGGAAAGTAAAAGACAGATGAAGCAAATGAACAACACGAGAAACTTTTTTTCCTCTCGCTGTATTTTTGTCGAGTGATTATTTTTATTCTTATAATCAAAATGATATCTTGGATCTATTTTCATAATATTTCATGATAAAAAAATGTCGGGAGAATCATCTATTTCAGCCCATTGTTAAAATAATCTACGACTTTTGATTCGAAAAAATAGTTTCTACAAATTGTCCGTACATATATATGAGAAAAACAGTAATCCCTTAGCCAGTAAGCAGGTAATTTTTCACATAAATAAAGACAAACTGAATTCTGTCGGACAGCTCAAATACCACGTGACCTTACTCCACAAAGCGAGGGTTGAACAATAAATTCTTTATTACCACTTGGAAGGCGACGAAAGATGACAGCTTGCAATTGACGTATCGTCGAAAGTACTACGAAATGGATAAAAAGGCAGGCCAGGTCCCGGGCATAATATACCGTAACCTATTTTTTACTAAGTAACAGTGCCTATACTCATTACCTATGAACTTCGTTTTCTGTTTTTCCGTTTGAAACTGCCATTCTAATAATTCAAAGCCTACAACGAAGAGAAACAAAGCTAAAGTCCAAAACAAAAAAATATAACAATAATCAACGAAAAATTAACAACCAGAAAAACGCAAGTCGAGGTCGGATAGTCGGGAAAAGTTCAGTACAAACCGTGTCTACATGGTTCGCTTTGTATCATTACAATCAAGTCTAAATGAAAATCATTATCCCTTCCAGTTTTTCGTTTCAAAAGTTGAGCAAAATGTCATGTGGTATTTTGTGTAACCGGTTATGATAGCTATAATAATTTTGGATAATAGCGCCAAAAGAAAAAGAGAAAAGAATGCTGTTGCAACATGGGAGTAAAACCGGATCAAAAGTCTTGACCTTACATGGATGCTTCATTTTTTACCACCGATTCTTTCCCGAAATAATCGATAATATGAAGGCTTTAGTGTAATTGACTGATTCATTCTATCATATATTTACTTCTTCGTCCCACTTCATTCATCCCCTACCATTCCAAATAGAATGATAAATGCTATGATCAATAAATATCAGAAAACCGTTACTGTCAGACTCTTCCTTTGCTTCCCTTAACTCTTTAAGCTGCATTTTACCGTTTGCTGCATCATGCTTTACCATTGCACATGGTGCACTGTACTTCATAATACGATTTACTGCATACCTTATCGTGATTACATTTTGGGCTATCTTTTCAAGCTATGCTTAAGACATATCATTACACGTGTTACGTACTTCTCTTTATCCAGAACCTGTGTCATTTTGACCATTTAGAAAAATAATATTTTTCTGTCTCTCTCCAGTGACAATACTGTTCGTCAGTAATCTAAATGACCTTCTGATAACAATCTAAATAATCAGGTCCTTTCTGCAACATATACTGCAGAAAGGATTTAAAGGAATTGGTAACATTTCTCACATTTCTGCTTGTACTCACTGCTTTCCTAAACATTAGGATTGGGCTTATCGGAGATTCTTGCATTTTGCTCTTTGATTCCAAATTATATTTCTAAAATGCGATGGCATCTTACACTTAATAGATTAGTCGTTCAAACCAGATGACTAATCTCCTAAGAGAAAAGTTTGTTGACCGTCTTAGGTGGAATAGGAATGAGGAAAAGTACTGTTGATATTTCAAGCGTACAAGGACGAGGTGACAGGAGAGGGTTTTAGAAATCTTGCAAGTTTGAGAATAAATAAAGCAACGAATGAAAGAAATAGAGAAGAACCGACTTGCTTCTTGTCTTTTTTCACTATCAATATGGAATGTGAATGTTTTGAGACTTTTTCAGGAATGTTCTCAACATGTTAAGAATTAGTTGAAATCAGATTCTTCCTTGAATAGAGATCAATCGAAGAGTATGAGTTGAGAAATTTCTAACCTGACGTGGTAAACAAGTTTGGCATATCACAACTTGAAGAAAAGTGTTCTCTAATTAATGCTATGGCATGTTAATAAAAGAATAGCACATTGGCAAGTTTAAATTAGCGCCGCGAAAGGCGGACTCTTATAGCAGTATTCTGATCAGACCATCTGGCCTGTATCGCGTCTCTCCTCAGCCAAGCTTGTCCCTCCTGACATCTATCTATCTCTTCCAAAACGCCAGCGATTACAATCACTATTAACACCGTCGCTGCAACGCTGCGGTAGCCGGAACGGCAATACACCTTCAATATGGAAAGGGAAGGATGGAAGCAGAAGATGAAAATAGTGTTGAAAGCGAAAGGAAAAACAGGAACAGAACATATTTCACTACTTCTGCATCTGTTATAGACTGTAAGAGTAGGAGATAGGGGTAGGGGGAACGTTTCCTGTCTAGCTTTGTTAACTTTACATCATCCAGTTTTTATCACTGCCATCCCTTCCTCTCTCATTCTGCTTGCTGACACTCTCTATGCACTCATCTCTCGGCTCCCTCTCTCTCTTTGGCACCACCTGCGGCAGCCCGTTTTCTACTTGCCAGGATAGCAGCTACCACTATTACTGCTGCTGCTTTTACTGCTACTGCTGCTATATTACCAGCGTCTCCTTCTGCTGCGCTTCTTGTAGACGGTATTGTGGGATACTTCCACCTCTTCCTCCGCTCCCTCCTCCACCCTCCCCCGTCATTACCGCCATTTTTGTTCCAATCTCGGTGTTGCTTCAAATATTTTTTTCAAATTCGTTCGCTCCAGTTACCGACAGGAAAAAATTTTTGTCCGGATTGGGAATCATACAAAAGACGACGTTTGTGTATCCCTCCTTTTCTTGCCTTTCACTCCTTGCTTTGTGTATTATTAGTATTCACCCTGCAGGAGTGATTGCTTCGAAAATCTTTGAAGGACGCGCCGCATTTGCATCCTTGGCGATACTGTCGGGATTTGCGACATTGACGCGTCATTGAGGACGCAACGCGATGCGACTGATGGGGTGCATGGTAGGACACTCCTCAGCAGTCGGTGATGAGGAACGCGAGCAACGGAAGGTTTGCTTTTATCAATTATACACATTAATCGTATTTGTTGTTGTTCAACGTCAATTGGTAGAGCAAATTGATCCAATTTTTGGACTATCCTTGCTTCACATGCTTTTCGACAGTCCTTTCATACCAGGCAACACTCTCTGTTGCATATCCGTACCACTCCACTTACGGTCAGCTGAGCTTTCTTTCACTTGTTGACAATTCGTCTAACAAGTTATTATGTAGCCATAAGGACCCCATTTGCTTTGATAACAGTGCAAGGCTTTTTTCTATTATTTGCCTTCATTTCCTGCCCTCATCACACAGTATCTCATTTGAAACTAATTGTCTGGTCGCTAGCTTACTCTTCATGGAACATCAAAACATAATATAACTTAAATCTTATCGATCTGCGTTTTACTTCACCTTCATAGTCCAGCTGCTGCCTATTTGATAATAAAATATTCTAGATTGTAGCATGCAGAGTGCTGCGGATAGAATGAAGTGCACTGTTTCTTTTTCGCTACAAATAATGTTTGTTTGAGGGCTAATTTTCCAATTGTTGGTATTCACTACCGGTCTTAACCTCAATTTCAACACTTTTATCTCTGGCTGTTTAAGTAGTTGATATTTTCATTGACAAACGGCATCTGATAATGACTTGAAATTATAGTTTTAAAAAATATACATAATTCTTTTTACGTTCATTTTCTTTTTTTATTTCTCTTTGCGTAGGTAAATATAACCACGATCACTCGATGCATTCTTTGGTGGTTAAATTCTTCAATATTTTAACGGATGCTAAGGGAGCTTAATTTTAGGAAACTAACTGCGTAATGCCCATATTTCTTACCCATCTGAGTGTAAAATCAGATGTGATATCACTGCCGTTGCACGATTGGTCATATCTCACAACATTTGTGACGTTGTAAGAAGTAGAGAATTTTTGGTTTGCCTCTGTAGGTTCTTGTATGCTGTAATTAATGAGGTGATCAGTAGTATCCAAGTTTTGTTTGAAATCTTTTGAAGTGCTAATCTTATTTGGTATTTTAATAAGCCTGTCGCATGTTCTGTCGTTCTGATTTCTTCTTATGCTCTCTACGATAATGAGGCTCTTATTCGTTAAGATAAAGATAAAGGAGTAAAACTGTAAAACCCACATCATGGAAAAGAATAGGAGCATTTTCGAAGCTGGTTCTTACACCAGTTCTAAAAACAACTGCTTATCATGTTGTATGCAATGATCAGAAATTATAATGAACTGAAAACAGCCCCAAAAGTGATTTATATTCAACAGATTTAAAGCTTTACAACATTCGTTCAGATAGATTTTTCCTGTTTATTTAAAGTTTTGATATTTTCAGGTTGAGATCTTGTCAACCGAAGTATGAGCTATAAGACTTTCATCGTCCAAACCTTATTTCATTCCTGGATGACTTGAAAATTTCGAGTTTTTTATTTTGATAGCTGAAAGATTCTGGGGAAAGACCACAGGCTTCACTTTTTTTGGAAGTGTTACATTACTTTTGTTTTAAAACTTTTGTATTTATCCTCTTGCTAAAGTAACTGTGCAATAAGGTGTGAAAAGTCCTGAAACTTACTGTCTTTGTTGATTCGTAATAACATTTTGTGTCATGGATTTCTAAAATCAAAGTATAGCTTTTCATCTTTTGTCCTTTGTCTTCCTATATCAATTTGCAAGTCCCATTCTTTTTCACTTTGCGCCCTATTATAATCATCATAAACCTAAGAAGTTTCTGTTAAACAACAAGGAAAAAAGAAGGTTGTTGAGGGATTCTCACATAATCTAAAAATAACACAGATTGAAGGGTTAGCTGCATCATATGTGGCAATTATCATTGGGATGTTCATGCTTGTATATGAGCATGTAATGCTGTATCTCTGATCATCAATTCATTATCATTAGGACTAAAATTATATGAGTGGGAATACATTTCCACTGACAGTTATGTGATTTTTCAATACAATTAAACGATCTTTGGGGTTGTGTCAGATGTGTAATAGTGAATGCGGGACTACCCTGCAGTGCTGCATATTTTGGAAAATGAAAAAGCCGCTAAAATGGACAGAGGACCTGTTCCTGTTACTAAAATTAGTTCAGATAGCTAGTGCTCCTTGATTGATTTTTACTCCTTACTATTAGTTCATGTTACTCTTCTCTTCGTTCAGTATTATATTTTTTCCTTTACTGTTCTTCTATTTTTCACAGTTTTTTCTTATTTTAAGGAAAAATCTTTTTTTTTATTCTCTTAATTTTCTGTTGAAAGCATGTCCAGATTAAAGAACATTTATACACGAAGCATTTGCTAATAAGGTAGAATAAAAATTTGAAAAATTTTCACAAGACTTGCTCTTATATAGATTAGAAATTTTTTAAGTTCATTTTTTTGCTACACATCAATTAGTAATAGAGGAAAATGACCACTAATTACTAAACGGAAGATTCGATCTCGTCTCAACCAAAAGTTTGTTTGGAAGAGTCAGTACGTTTATATATTCGTTTATGTTGAGTCAGTACATTTATGTTGACGTGGAATTATCTTTTTCTTTATTATGTTATAACAGTTTTGCAATTATTTTAGCTCTACTTAGCTAACCTAAGCGATTGAAACTTGATAGTAGAGTGAATTTTTGTGTAGAAATACTTGAATTTATTGTTTGATCAGATGCGCAATAAGGCCAGAATATTTACTGTTTTTGAGAACCGAACCTTCTGTTTTTCAATAAAATTTATTTGGAAATTTACTACCTGGATTTGTTGCTTCTTTTCATACATTGAAAGCTTTTAGATTGTATTGATTTATTATTCTTTTTTCTTCATAGATTATGATCTTTTCAGTCCATATCAGTGTTGACGATTAATTGTCTTCTTCTTGCAATTATCGATTCATTGCCTTCTTCGCGGTGCTCAAAAATTTGGTGCTGAACATTTTTATACAGAAGCAGTTTTAAATCCATTCCACAGAGAAATTAATCAGTGATTCATTTAAATTATTTTTAATGAATTCATATACATATATATAGCGGTGTTATGTTACGTTTATCCTAAGATTTGAAGAATTCGCTGTTATAACTATCTACATGGAATATATCTGATGGTGCTGCATCAGACTTGGGAGAGCATACTTATAGGCATACATTCTGATTGCCGGAATTTTTAAACTTCCTACATGCAGCACATTTACTTCGAATGATCGGCTCAGTGTCTCGCTACACCAGATAAGAGTGCATGTGTGTGAATATGGCTTAAAGTTTGTTCGTGTATGCTTACATTCGTACATGCAAGGTTAACGTACAAAAATCAAAATAGTAATAGCAAGTACGAGCATCATTTTTTAGGTCGATAATATAAAATTTGATAAGCCTGGCCATCCATCTTTCCATCGATTAATCTTTATGTAATACGTTTTGCGAAATGGACTAAGAAGTTTTAGTTTTTTATCCTGATGAACGTTTGATGGTTTCTAGCAGTCTGTCATTCGATGGCTCTCAGATAAATCTTGAGGGCAGTCAGCCAGAAGGGAGAGGAAAGCGAACAAAAAGGGAGACTTAATCGAACAGACCAAGAGAAATGAGAAAGCAACAGGAACAACAGGGACAGGGTATGCTATTTTTAACATAAAAATTAGTTCTTCTTGCGGACGTTCCGTTGCTATTTTTAGTGAGTAAACTAACAGCTGAACAAACACATACACACACACACATCATTTTAAAGTCCTTTTGATGATTGAAAAGGGTGTGCAGGAAAGCCAACATTTTTAATGCAGATTGAGGGAGGGTATCTTCGTGATTTTTTAGGGTAAAAGTTCAGTAGGAAAGCCAGATATAGTCCTTATATATATATATAGTGATGTTATATATAAATATATTTATCATCACTCACGTTTTAATGCTTTTACCGGTGCATCTCTTACTTTCTCTAGTTAGATACTTCTTTCCTAAAGAGAAGAAAAATGGAGTGAAGTGATTTTTCATGCAAGTTTTTTTCTTATTGAATTCAGTTGATGGAATTCATTTATTGTTTGAAATTGTGGTACTGGTTCATGATTTAAGTCTATTAATAGTCGTTTTTCTTCGATTTAAAGGTAATGATCACCTTTTTTGGCCAACAAAAGGATTTTGAAATTGATTGCGCGAGTATCGAAGATGACGAATTTTCAAATAATGTTATTATATGCGGCAATCTTTCAATGCAGGACATTTCAACTCCTTTCACTAAACAAGTAGAAGGGAAGAAATGTAAATTAAGGTGGAAGTAAAGGTTATAATGAAAGTATAATGTAGTGCTATAAATGCACCACTCGGAGCGGTATCACAAAAAACATTATTGATAATGGCGAAGTTATATTGAATTTAATGTTTTTTCATATATGTATTGTTCAATAATCATCAGTAAAGGTCTGAAATCACTCTAGATTAGGATCGATATAGCGGTTTTAGATTTAGAAAAAATTTTTATAGAAGTTATGATGCAGAAACTACCTTAGTCTACTTCAAATTTAAATGTTATTTGGGTGTGAACACCTTTACCACATTCTTTTTGAATGATTGAATATATCAGTAGAAATGAGCGCCATTATCATCATCATCATCATCATTACTCAGGTGTCTTATGATGCAGACTATAGTAGCTACATTCGCAGAGAATGATAAAACTCAGAAATCTTCCGCTAATGTAATTGGTCGCATGGATTCAGATTAAAAATAAATACACTTCTTTAATTTTAAATAGCTCTCTCTTTTCTTTTCCTAATTCTTTCTCCAAATCAGTTTGGCCTGCCTGTTGTTTATTTTCACACTACAGCTGCTAACAAAAAAGAACGCTCGAGCATTCTGGAATTCTGTAAATGTCCGACCGAAATAGCTGTCCAGTAATATTAGAACTTCATTAATAGTGTATTCAATTTTTGGTGTGCTTAGGGGGAACTTAATATATTTAATATA